GAAGTAGAAGAGATCCTTTATATAAAGAATATAAGAGGAAAAGGGAATTGTTAAGTCCTAGTAAAATAGAAGGGGTATATTAATCTAATATAGCACCTACTAGAGGTAGTGTAGGATACTAAGGCTCTAGATAGGTTTAAGGAAAAGTATAGGGATATTACATATAATAATAGCCTAATACGTATAAAAGCTAGGAAGTAAGGGTAGAAGAAAACTAGAATAATAACTTAGACCTTTATTATAATTAAGAAGTATAAAGGTATTAGAGATATCTTTTATTTATCCTTATAATACTCTAAGTAAGTGCCCTACTACTAAAGTTTTATAAGGTAGCTAATAATTAAGTAGTAGTATCTATACTATTACTATCTATAACTAACCCCCTTTTAGCCCCCCCTAAACTATTATTTATATTATTCTAACGCCTCTATATCTCTTAGTAATAGTAGTAATGCTTACGTGTAGTATAGGTAGGGGAGGACTTAGTTAATAAGTATAAGTAATAGTAGTAGTAGTAGTAGGAGAAGGGTAGTGCTTTAATAGTTTACTAACGCGTAGCACCCTAGGCCTAAAAGAAAGTAAATGTTAGAATATATAAAGGGAATAAAAGGGAAATTAATACTAATAATAAGAGTCTTAATACTATAGGTAGTGCACTTAGTAGCGCTCTTAAGCCTATTAATATAAAGGTTAGTTTAGGCCTAGGTCTTATTTATACGCTAGTTAATACGCTAGAAGATAATACTAGTAATAGTAGCAAGCTATATAATATTATTATTACTATAACTACTATATAAGGGCGTAATAGCAGACTAAAGTAGAAACACTAGAGCACTAGTAGTAGATAGAATAATAGCACTAAGCTAATACTAATTATAGGCGCGCAAGTAGGTAGTAGGGGCAAGTAGGGTAATAGTATTATTAGTCTAAGCCCTTAATATAAGACCCTTAAAATAATAGTAGAGCTAGTAGAACTATAGTATAAACTAGTAATAGGTGCCTTTAGTAGGTTTCTCTATAAAGGTGCTAAGGGTCCCCTTCTTTATAATATAGAGGTAATCCTCCTAGTAACTATAATAAAACTAAAGCTAGTTATAAAGGGCTTAGCAAATATTAGGATTATTAGTAAGGATAGCTTCTAATTAAGTATAGGTCTTATAGCTATAATAGCAGGACTTATATAAGCGCCCTAGATATAGTTAGAACTTGCTATAAAGGAAATAAAAATTAAGGGGAACTTACTACTACCCTCCTAATAGTTATACTTACTAAAGAGATAAAGCTAGTTAATATACTAATTATAGGGAAGTAGCTTTATAAAGCTACTATTATATTCCTTATTATCTAAGTTACTAGAAATAATAAAGCTACTAAGCAACTAGGTTTAGGGAGATATATACTAAATAAAAAGTTAGTAGAGGAAATATAGGGAGAATATTAGAAGTACACACCTTATCTTAGTAGGCCTAGCGTAGGGTCTAACTACCTTATAGTAGATCCCTACTACTAGTACTAGTAGCGGTAGACAAGGATATAATAGGGGCTAGATAGGCAGGATTAATAGAAAAAGATTAGAGAGAGGGCTAATTAGTAGGGAAAATCTATTATATAATAAAGTAAGTTTAGGAAATTTATAGTAGGGTAGGATAGCTATATTAGAACTTTTATAGTAGGGTGCTAAAATAAGTGTATAGATACCACGCGTGTGTACTACTTAATATATAGGCCTATTATAAATTAGGAAGGAATATAAAGATATAATAATAAAACTAAAAAATATAGTAATAAAGCCTAATATAGATTATAGAGGACAAAGATATAACCTTAGACCCCTAGAAAGACAATTTCACGATAGTTTATAGGGGAAGGTTAGGGGTATATAAAGGGCTTAGGCTTATGCCTAAGCCTAGGTCTAACACAAGATAGACTAAGTCTAACACTACTACTAAGTAAACACACTAGACACCTATAAAAAGGCGTGGAGGGCTTACCTCTCCTTTAAGATACTAAATACTATTATTAACGCTTATTGCATTCTCCCTTAAGGCTAGTCTATAACATAGGGTTAATATATATTTATCTTTAAGGGAGGTGTTGCTTTAAGATTTCCTAGGAGCACAAGGTACCTTAAGAGATAGATAGGAAGCAGGTCCTTTAAGGAGGGCGTTATTAATTAAGTCTTCCTTATCTAATTTCTTTTTATTAGTAAATAGGCTTTTAAAAGTAGCTAAACTAGATACCCTTCCTTTACCTTTATTTAATATTTTGTAGTTAATAAGAATAATAAATCTTTTCTTTAGGGGGTTTAGTTATAGGAGGATATTAGCTTTACCTCTAATTCCTCTAGGCTTTTAGTAGTCTCTAGGTCTCTACCTTAACGCAATCTAACGCGATTTTTCTAAAGGTAATCTAGCACTACCTATAGGTCTAGAAGTCCAAGCCTATAGGCTTTAGTTATTAGAAGTTCTAATAGCTATTCTAACTATAGAGTTACAGGGTTTAGGTAGCTACTAGAACTAAATTAGTAGCTTAAAATAACAACAAATGCGATATTCTTAAATACTATTACTAGCTAGGATAATATTCTTCTTATAATATAACAACTTAGGTAGGTAGGGCATCTAAAAGGTATCCTATATAACTTAAAGGTATATAGGAGTGCGCGTCTATATAGAAAAGGATAAGATTCCTACACCTATAGGTCTTGTACAAAAGGACAAGAAGAATATGCCTATCCTAACTATAGGCGAGCTGTTCTCTATATACATTAGTGAGTTAGGCCTTTATTAGTCCTAACTTGGCATGGAACAATAGGCAGGCAATTCTGCCTTATTGTTACAGGTTAGATAGCTACTAGAACTAAATTAGTAGCTTAAAATAATAACAAGTGCGATATTCTTAAATACTATTATTAGCTAGGATAATATTCTTCTTATAATATAATAACTTAGGTAGGTAGGGTATCTAAAAGGTATCCTATATAACTTAAAGGCATATAGGAGTGCGCGTCTATATAGAAAAGGATAAGATTCCTACACCTATAGGTCTTGTATAAAAGGACAAGAAGAACATACCTATCCTAACTATAGGCAAGCTGTTCTCTATATACATTAGTAAGTTAGGCCTTTATTAGGCCTAACTTAGTATAGAATAATAGGCAGGCAATTCTGCCTTATTATTACACCTATAATAACACTCCTTCCTAAATACCTTAAAGACGCCCCTTATACTAGCTACCCTTATAAGCAAGATACTATCTATAATACTACTCTTTTATAAGTATACTAAGATAGATATAGGAGAGAGAAGAGCTATACTAATATAGCTAGTAATCTTAGTCTTTATAAATATAATATATTATTTACTATAGTATAGAGAGTCCTAAAAGTAGCTAGATACTATAAAATAAAGCCTATAAGGAAGCCTAGGTTAATAAAGAAGATAAGATAGGATAGACTTAAGTAGTATCTTGCCTATTAAGGCTAGACTCTAGAGGACTAGAAGAATATTATCTAGTCTAATAAGACTTCTATCCTACTTAACTACTACTATAGTAGCTACTATATCTAAAGAAAACCTAATAAGGCTTTTACTAAGACTATTATTTATAAGTAGTAGAAGGGCTACTCTAAGTTTATATTCTAGGGCTACTTTTCTTATAAGTATAAGGGCCTATACTATATCTAGTGCCTTAAGATTATATAGGAGAAGAGAGAAGTAGCTTTAAAGATTAAAGAGATAAATAAGACTCTTAAGCCTATTATAAGATAGGAGTAGGAGCTTATTACTAGTATAAAGAGAATAGGATTAAGGAATAAACTAGGTAAGACTTTATAGTAGAAATAGAATAAAAAGAATAGTAAGCTCTTTTATAATAGTAGAGGAGGTATAGATTAATAGCGCTACTAGAGTTAAATTCTAATCCCTAAGCTTATCCCCTTTACTAAGAAGTATAAGAAAGAGAGACTATATACTATAGTTTAAGAGAATAAAGCTTCTTTATATACCTACTATACCTAATAACTAGTATATAAGAGAGAGGGAGTAAAGAAGCTTCTTTAGTATAGTAATTTACTTAACCTTAATACTATTAAAGTAGCCTAGCTATAGCTTAAGTAAAGAACTACTTAGAAGGGTACTCTTAAGAGTAGAGTAGAGGGTATAAAAGTATAGTTAAAGGCTTAGAATAAGCTACCTTAATACTAAATCTAGGCTTAGATAGAGTGTATATAGTATTATATTTAGTAGATTATTAGACTAGAAGGTAGTAATAAGTATAAGGAGGGGCGGCGCGATAGAATAGTCTAAGCTTTAGTAGTATCACGGCGGTAATATAGACACCCCTGTTAGCAAGAACTTTTAAAAGCCACCTCTGTACCATGTATACGCACTAGTCAGCGCATATCTACTCTATCATGCGTTCACCTCACGCCTATATGGGCAACTATTGGAGGGCAAACATGAAAGCGTGCACATTGTAATGTAGAAAAGAACATGGTTTCTGGTTCACAGAATAGCAAGCTCAAAACAATCCAGGCGAACAGACAGCATGTGATAGAAGTGCAATTGCCAACTGCATCGACTCAACTAACCACAGTGTTTCCAGCTACCAAGGTTGTTGTGGGCCGGCAAGGCGACTTTGGGGTCGTGTAATCACCGTCGGTGCGGAATCACACGGGCAGTGATACGAAAGGCAACGTCAAGAGACAGCCAGCATAGATAACAGCCGCACTCCACTCAAGGGACATCACAATGCATATGCAAAACCAAAGATCATAATGAATGCAACTCAAATATGCGAACCGGAACGCCTAAGGCCATTCGCTATACCAAGCCATCCCAGAATTGACGTCAAAGAAACCTATATCCTCCAGCATAATCGTCACACTTTTCAATTCATATGGCACCTTGGTGTATGAATCTCTCACCTCATAGAAAGGTAGTGGAGTAGTGGTACACATAGCATCATCAAACCAAACATCGCGAACGAGCTCTCACGTTTACAACTCATCGTGGTCCTCAGCGACAGCCTCCTTGGCAGCGTCGGTGGCCTTTGCGGCACCAGACTTGACAGCCTCAGTAGCATCTTCAGCGGCCTCGGCAGCGGCCTCAGTGGCAGCTGCGGCCTGCTCAGCAAGTCCCTCGCCGTCCTCCTCCTCAGCCGTCTCAGGAGGTGGAGGGGTGTAGTCGACCTCAACCTTGTGTGAGCCGTTCTCCTGAATGAACTTGATGAGGTCCTCAACAGTGCGCGAGCCGCTGTAGTCAATAGGTGAGTCCTTCTTGCCGGCGGCGAAAAGCTTAATAGTAGGGAAACCCTGGATCTCAGCCGGCACGTCGTTGGCGGTTGCATCAACCTTGGCGATGGTAACGAGCTTCGAGAACTCATCGGAGCTGTACAGTTGGCCGAGCTCCTCGTACTTGGGGGCAAGAGCCTTGCAGTGACCGCACCATGGAGCGTAGAACTCGACAAGAACATCCTTGTCCTCTTCGAAAACGATGTCCTTGTAGTTGTGGGCAACAACGACCTTGACAGGGCCGTCGTTGGACTCTGGAATGGGCTCAGACTTGATGCTGGGCTCGATCTTGCCAGCGATGACGTCCTCGACGAAAGAGCCAATCTCCTTTGCGGTGATCTCCTTGTCCTGGCTGTAAGGGAACTTGTCGTTCTTGTCGGTGCGCTGAATGGCAAAGGCGGGCCATTTGCCGACCTCGAGGTTGAGGTTTCCAGCATGCTGGCCGAAGCTCTTGGCATCAATGGTAGCGAAGTTGACCTTACCCTTGTGCTTTTCAGCGAGGGGCTTCAGTTCATTGGCGAGCTGTTCGCGCTCCTCTGGTGTCTCGGCGAAGATGTAGGCGAGGGGCAGGCCAGAAGACATGTAGTCGCTGTAGGTCTCGGGGCCAACCTCACCGACAAGGGGGGTCGAGGCGACCTTGGCAAATTCGCGGATTGCATCAGCGTCGAACTTCTCGGTGAATACATCCTTGCCGTTGTCGAAAGACTTGTAGAGAACTAGGCCGGGCTGCTTGACACCCTCAGCCTTGGCCAGAGCAGCGTCGCTGGTGGCACCAAAGAGGAAGTTGTCGCGTAGGCCATTGGCAACCGAAGTGAAGGTCTCGTTGGACGCCTTGTCGTCGGCGGCGAAGTAAGCAATGAGAACGACCTTGTCAGCCGTCTTGAATTCGGCCAGAGTGTCCTTGGTGACTTCAGAAACAGCGGGGAGGGCCTGCTTGGTCATGTATGAGATCAAGCTGTCGGCCTTGCGCTGACCGCCATAGGGTGACACGGTCTCGAGGCCACGGAAGACCTTGAGAGTAGGGTAGCCCTCGACACCGTACTCTTGGCACAGGTCAGCCTCCTCTGTGCAGTCGACCTTGATGAGCTTGATATCCTTCTCTTTGAGGGTAGTCGCCGCCGTCTCGTACTCGGGAGCCAGGGCCTTGCAGTGACCGCACCATGGGGCGAAGACTGTCCTTTATATCAGCACGATGTCAAGTATGGTTGTTGAACATGGTATGATGAGTATACCATGTGATGTGGATCGTGGAATGTAAAATGTTACTGCTACTATTACTTACACTCTGCGAGGACGAGGTCATTCTCCTCGATGAAGGACTTGAACGTGTCCTTGTTGAGCTGCTCGACGTCGGACGCCGCAGCAATAGCCGCAAAGAAGGCGGCACAGATGGTGGTGTACTTCATCTTGCTGTGGGGGGGGGAGAGGAAGGGAGAAGTTCACTGTGCAATGGGGTGAGATTGAATGTGAAAGAGAGGAAGGAGTGAGCTGAGTCCTCTGCACGGCGTGTGGAAGAAGAAGTACAGTTCAGCGCTGGGTTGGGCTTTTTATTGTACTGCGGAGGGCTCGTGGCGGTTGAAGGGCCACCTGTCGAATTCACTAGTTGCCCCAAGCGGCTCATACCCGCGGCCCACCTTGCCAAGACCAGGGTCACCGCCACCGCATTTCTGTAACTCGTCCTACTAGGCCCTCAACCCCAACCCTATTTACTATAGGAGACCATCACTTGAGCACACACACACACACACACACACACACACCTTTACATGAACTCAATATGTAACGACGTCCTCTAGCATCTGGGGTGACGCCAGACGCTGGCTATATTTTCCCTTGCACAAGTTGCGCCTCTCTTATTCTGCCGTACACACACCCTCTCTCTCTCTCTCTCTCTCTCTCTCTTCTCTCTCTTCTCTCTCTTCTCTCTCTTCTCTCTCTTCTCTCTCTTCTCTCTCTTCTCTCTCGCGCACACACAATAGATTGACAAGAGCTCTATGGTATTGTGCTAGTGTAGCCACCCCTGCAAATCTCACCTCTCATTATTAATATACAACCGTGTCCTCCAGCCTCGCAAGGCCAAGTGTTCTCAATTGGCTTACTTACCGTACAAGCATGTGGCATGCTATTAGTAGACCATGTCACCATGGTGCCATATAGGTACACGGCCTATTTCATTCCGTCGGAGTCAGTTTCCCCTCACAATCTCGGTCTTGTTCTGGCCTATCAGCTGCTCAGATAACAACTTGACCACGTCTGAGGTAGATTTTGGCATCGCGACTTTTGCAACGTCGCCAACACAGTGCTTGGAGCACTCCGCAATGTCATGGAGAAAACATGGTCTTGCCAAACAACCAAATAGCACAGCTTTGAATGATGCAGCTTCATGTGGGCTTTTTAGTTGCTGATTAGCGCACCTGGTTAATAGTACTAAGCAGCATTAAAATCCTAGTCTTCCCCTACTGTCTGTTTAGCTAGGTACCTATTTAGACTTGGCCGTGCAGTGTAAAGATACCATATTACTGTCGATAGGACTATGCAATGTAATCTCCTACTTTAGCCTACTCCTATGATCCGAAGTGGCAAAGTTGTACTGCGAAACTGAACTCGAGGAGTCGAGAGTGGCTGAGCTGAAATATTAGCTTACCAAATTGCCAGCAAGGCCAGATTTCAGCACAAAGAGACTACATGCATACTTTTAGAGCGACATGCAAGGCCCATTTGTCCTCAGGCAGCAGTAGCAGCAACAGCAGGCGGAGCAACTCTAGTAGCGTGCTCACCCATGGGCAAAACAAAGCTTTTCTCGCTCTTCAACAAATGCTCATTTGCAGTTGCACCCATCTTCCAAATTTCCACCTCTTGGCCACCACGCAACACTCCTACTCTCATCGTCGACAGCAGATTATGGGCAGAGTTGGTATGATTGTAAACACCTCCATTGAACAGCGCCGTCGCATCCTTTCCAATTGCGCTCCTAATCAGTGCCTGCCCGCCTGGGTGTTCTGCTATAAATCCCGAAACATCGTGAATCACACCCGCGATGGCAACGAGGGCTGCCCCATGGGCGGAACTCTGTGCTTTGAAGTCATCCCAGGACAAGACCGGCAGTTGTGAGATGGGTACTCCCCAATCGAGCTTTGACCGTTTGCAATCTAGCGCTTTCTGCTGTTGCTGCAGACGACCTTTTTCAATCTCATTGGAGCGGAAGGTCTTGAGGTTGTAGCTCAATGGGAAGAAGGGAAGCCGTGACATAGCATAGATGAGCCATTTGGTAGGATCGTACTGGTACCAGATGATCGCGTTGCCTGTTCTTCTATCAGCCTTCTTTGCTCGGTTGAAGAGTCATTGTAGGTAGGTAACCCCCAAAACTTACGATAATCACTGGGGAACTCGTGGTGAAAATTATGATAGCCCTCGCCCATTGTCACCAGCGCTGTCAAAACATGATCTCGCGGCGACCTCCGATCATCAAACGGCTGCTCCCCAATCCAATGCGCAAGACTATTCACACAAAACGTTGCTTGTTGTACCAAACAGGCTCTGAGCACTCCGGCATACACAAGACCTCCCCACCAATCACCCCAGCCGAGTCCCGCAACGAGACAGGGAAAGATCCAGGCAGCAAAAAGTAGACACTTGCCGTAGTGCTTATGCTGGAACACAACAACAGGGTCGCCATCCAAATCCGACACATCAGTGCGTCCTTTGACTTTTGGATCATTGTTTAGTACCATCCATCCGATATGTGAGAAGAGGAGACCACGCATCACGGAATACGGATCTTTCATTGTATCGGTCCAGCGATGGTGGGCGCGGTGGTTTGCACTCCACCATCGTATGCTGCCCTGAATTGCGCCTGCGCCCGTGAATGCGAGGAACAAGCGTAATGGCAGACGGGCAGAGTAACAGCGGTGGCTCCAAAGTCTATGGTACCCGCCTGTTATGCCAAAAGCGGTCATGGCGTAGTATGTGATGGACCATAGAAGAGTAGAAGGGGTGAGAGGAGTAGTGCGAGCGAGGTAGAGACCAAAGAGGGGAATTAGAACAACGAGGATTGTGTTGAGCCAATTGATCTTTCTGTGCCAGTTTCTCCATGCGAGGGGTTGGTGGGAGATGTGAGTTTTTTCCCTCTGGGAAGATGAAGCTTCCGGAGGCAGGTCCGTGGCTGTCATCCTGAGTTGCAGAACGGATGTCGAGGAAAGGCCAATCTTCAATTCAGCGCAGCCTTCAAATTCTTCATCCAAGGCCAAGACGGACTGCATGTCTATGCATATGTATCTCAATCGGTTTCTCGGGTCCCGTACTCCCCGTTGTCCAAAGACAGGAATGTGGTAGCCGAAAGAGCGGGCACAAACTCTGTAGCCATGACACAGTGGGTATAAACTGTACTAGTGTACCCAGCACCACCGCTAGATGACATTATTGAATCTAATCTGAGCCTTCCGGCCAAAGTGTGATTCGTCAATGGCCCGACAGTGGGGAAAGAGTGATGAAGTCTACATTGATGGTTTCAGGTTAGAGCGCGGTGGTTTGCCGGCTAGACCCAATATACTTCTCACCCGCAAGACTGAGATGGACAAGATAGATGTACTTGCCACATCTCCACCAATGTCCAAATTCCTTTGGGCGTCTTATTCGGAGTTGAACAGCTTCATGGTGATTTGCCTGGGTGGAGCCGCGAGTGAATGATCATCATGGAAAAGGTCTCGACCCTAGTCCAAGAACGGTGGGAACAGCTCATCATAAGCATGTATCATATCTGCATGTCTGCCAGGTAGAGAGCGAGATGGACCCGGGAAAAAAATCAATTAGAGGATTCGTTCACACATCTAGCAAATACGAAAGGTGAGTCTGGGGGTTTGACTGCGATGTGTCCCCGATGCCGCACCACAAAGCCAGACGTACCCTTCGTTCAATCTCGAATATTCGAAGTTTCCAGCTCACAACCTAATCATCCGAACATGTTCAAGCTGAATGAAGACATGTGTGGCCAGACCTCACCATTTGGAGATCCGCAGTTGGTCGGTCCAACAGATGCGATTTGTACTAAGCTGTACTTCACTATCTGAAGTGATCAGCATCGGCCATGAACCACCACACGTTGTTGCGATCGAAGTCAGACAAGCTCCACAGGTTGTTCCTCGCAGAATCTGTCAAGTTTACGGCATCTTTGCCATCTTCTCGCTCCGTAATCGTCAATAATGAGTTCATGAGATCTTTGTAAATGTTGCGCGGTATTAGGGGCTTTTTACCATCAAGCCACTTACAATCGCCAGTCGCAGCATACAAGTCGATCAAAAATTTGCGAATTAGGCAGGAACCTCTTGTCTTGCAATAAGCGTAGGTGACGCTGGCCGAGGAGATGCCCTGGCTTTTGTCGAGGCTCTCTTGAACAATCTGCTTCCGGACTGCTATCTGAAATCCTTTGTCTTGCAATTTTTCTCCAACCAGATGTGCTTTGATCAAGCGAATGCAGTCTGCAGCACCATCTTCTTCTTTCGTCTTATAGCTTGGGATGCGACTCGTATACAGCCATTGGATGTAGACGTCGAACCCATCCGCATCTAGATCATGTAGAGTGGCGTGTTGTAGGAACGGCGACTTCTTCCAGATTGTTCTGCAAAATGGACACTTGTTCGACGATTTCACCCACTGCTGCAGGCATTCTTGATGTATGTTGTTGCCGCAGGTTTTGCACCAAGTCGCGTAAGTGACACCAGAGATGAGCTCCTCGCAACAAATCGCGCAATCCCCTTCGAGGGACTTACGAACATGTTGGAATGCTTGTTTCAGATATGGAGATCGAGAGCAGAGCAAGTCCTCATGAACGGAAAAGCCCTGACGAGTTGGACCAATTTCTAGGCGGAGGAAACGGCCTCCCAGACTAGGTTCGCATTAGGGCAAGAAATGCTTTGGCGCTCTAGTGGTTGCTTACTGGAGGGGACTCGCAAGTCTGGTCTTGATGACGCTCTGAGATCTCGTAGCCGCCTTGTGGGCTTGCTTCGCTATTTGCAATGAGCTTCATGTGTGCGCTACGACTCCAGAGTTGGCTTACTAGGAACTTTGCCCATGGCGTCTCGACTGAAGGTATTATCGAATATTGACTGTGGTGTAGTGCGACAAGGACTAGAACCACATTGTAGGCTATGAGATATCGACATGAGTGAGCGTGAATATTATGATGAAGATGATCGACGTCTGCTGGTGATGTGAAAGCTCAGGATGAACGTCGACAGCTCTTTGCACAATGATGAGACGAGCGCGCATGGATTCCTTGGAGTTATTTCGTATTTCAAAAGCGCTCACCGGAACGCCCAATGCTATGCAATATCAACAAGACCACGAACGGTCGCAGCTCAGATGCGGAAACCTTCATCTCTTCTCGGCCCAAGACCATTCTTCATGCTGTCCCTGAGGATCTCCCAGTTTACGCCGTCTTTCCTGATTCCACGTAGACCATTCTCACCAACCGCTTGCGTGAGCCGGCCTGTGGCGATTCGGCGCATCATAACAGTGTCCTCTGCGCCCCGGAATGTCCTACCCTTGCCCTCAGTCAGGAACTTCTCAATGAATTCGTCTTCCCCGTCACTGAGAGGCAGGCTGACTAGTTCTACTGCCTTGTCTGATCGTGAATAGCCGTCATCAACGGGACTGCTTGACCATGCACCCTTCTCTAGTGTCTGCTCCACGAGAATCTCCAGTAGCGCCTTGTGCTCATATTCCGGTCGTGTGTGTATCCACCAATATGTCTCGGTGACGTTGCGGCCAGCCAGGTACTTTGCGAAGTCGACTCTGACCTTCTCATCGTCCAGCGGTGGCTTGACGCAGTTGTAGTAGGCGAGTGGCAGCACCTCATCTTCTTTGCGCTTCTGGACGCCCACGCTGTTCAGCCTGTCCCTGCCCTTCAGTAGTGTGTGCATGATGTCGTCTGGAAAGGTGGGTATAATGCTCGGGTGTGTGAGGTGGCCGACTGCAATGGCAAAATCCATGCGATCAAGTGCCCAGAGTCCTTCGATAAAAGTCCAGAATCGTTTCTCCAGGTGAACGTCTCGGGCGAAAGCATCGGAAAGCTCTACCTCGCTGTGCTGCAAAGGCGACAAATCCTTCAGCAGGTAGAAGATGAGGCAGTGCTTGTTGTGTAATGTGGTCTTGGCCGAGACGATGCGCCTGTGGAGTTCTTGCAGCTGTTGGGCGTTCTTAGGCGGGTAGATTCTCTTGCCTGTGTGCCAGTAGGTACATGTTAGCCGACGGCCCTTGATCGCATACACAGTGAAGCTCTTGATAAGCATGGGAGAAACGAGAAAGAGAGGAAAGCGGACGGGTATGCGACATGCCTGTAATCTTGAGAAGGTCTAGCAAGCGCTCGAAAAAGGTGCGACCGCCGAGCGCATGCTGGTACTCTTGTATTTCCTGCACAAGGCCATTGCTGTAATTGAGGCCTTGGAACACGGTATCGAAATCTTCTACGTCGAGCATGGTGACGTTTGTTCTTGTGGCTGTTTCGACCGGTAGTTTGACGCGCAGTTGGTGTGCTCTACCGGTACAGTGCTAGACGGTGAGAGACGCGAAGGTTCCAAGGTTGGCGTCGACGTGTTCTGGCTCCCCGGCCAACGTCGCACGCTGTCATGTGTGCAGTCTGCCTTGGCGCCTTGCATCATCACGATCGGATGGAGTCATCGTTCATCCATGGCCGTCAAACATGCCTACCCAGACCAGAGTACACAATACTCTACCTCTGCCCTCTTGCTAAGACAACATCACGTTGATTTTTTCTTTCTATTCTCATGTCTGTATTGGGAGATTGAGACGACCATATAATTATAGACTATTCAGTCTCGTCAAGTACCTAGGTACCGGTACAGCTCAGAAGCTTCTTACAGCATCTGTCAACCCCTTTTCAATAGAAAGTCCTATCCATGACACCAATCCCTGCAGTACACTTACTGCATCGACCTTGCCTTCTCCAGATCCTGCTGGTGAAGCTCCCTCAATTTTCCGGTGTTTGCAACGCCTCCGGTGACATTGGCTCCAATGACCTCCTTGGCATATCCGAGCATGCCAACCTCAGCCTTGTAGTAGGATATGTAATTGGCCTTGACCTCAATGAGCGTCATGCGTGGGTCTGACGCCGTACCATCATGTACACCATCTGCGAGGTCGCCAAACCACGCCGAAGCGCCCTTGCTCCATACCTCCTTGATGCGTGGGTCTGAATTGTCCGTCGTAGTCGCCTTGCCTGTGATGCTGATCCAGTCTTGTGTCTTGATGTCCTGAAACGAAATCTGGACTTCCTTGTTCTGCTCGAGGTCTTGGAACTTGTTCGAGTGCTTGTTCGCCAGGAAGAGGAAGTCGGGGCCATTGCGCTTAGCAACTGCCATGGAGCGCCCTACAGGACCTTTGAAAACGTGAGCGACACACTCCTCATGAACAGTGCTGAAACCAGGCTATCATACCAACGCCATTGCGGTACGTGTTGAGCATGCAAACCTTCTCTCCATCTGCAATCTCGAACAGCTCCTTGATTTGCTGTTCCTTCGGAGTCTCGTTATCATACTGCTTTGAGACGCTAGGGTCGGTCTTCGAGTTGACCTCGCCTTGCTTAAGTTGGTCTGGCATTCTGGTTTTGCAAAAGAAAGATATCTAGGTGTTCAGTAGATGAAGAACGTAGTGCGAGATCAATCGTGTATCAGTGGTGTGATGGACGTGGAACACGGGCAGCACATACAAGTACTGGTGGACAAGACACTGATTTGTCCAAGTGGACGTAACCATGAGATCAGAAGAGGAACGCCATGGCAAATTCGAAGCCGAATGGAAGCACATGTAGCTCCCTTACCAGGCGCATGATAAGTAGTATGACGTCTGTATGGGACTTATCAATAGACTACTCTGGTGTCTCATCGGGGAGGTTGACAGGTCAAGGCATAAGTATGACGACTATTAGGTAAATCGCCTTCTGGGCCTCTGGCGTATGTTTGCCAAGTGTGGACACAACTCAGTGTGGGAACTTCGGTGCGCGCGGGATCCGATTCTTAAGACGAAACCCTCATTGCCTGTAAAGAATGGAATGCCCCCAGATCCGGGCGTTTGTCTCCCAGCATCTGTTCGCGACGTCGGCACCCTCTTCTCGGTCCAGCGCCTCTTGGAAACTATCAAAATCCAAACCTGCTTGGCCTGATGCGCCCCGGAAATATCATGGGCCAACCTAGTATTCGCTCTGTCAAATAATAAAACCCTTCGAGCCAGTGCATCATAGCCATACTATGCGACGGCCATGCCCTCTTCTCTACTAAGTTATCATTAAAGAGTCGAAAGATACCAACAAAATGTCAATTTCTGTCTATGCCTTGGTCTTCGACTGCTCCATCCCCGCCTCCTCCTTCAGCCTCATCAACCTCTCCTCTTCCTCCCTCTTCATTCTTTCCTGTATTCTGATCCTCTCGGGAACAATCACCTTTCTCTCAGCCGTAATCTTCCATCCCTCTAAACTCTCCTTCCCCAATTCCCTTAAAGTCTTTTTCTCCACAAGACTATACTTCCCATCCGCCCGGTCAAACAAAAATGGCTCCCTGACTGATACTGGCGGATTCGTAATAACCCTCACATTCCTCAGCTGGTTGTTGCTGGCCGAGTGCAACATAAGCGGATGCAATAAGTATACATCACCCACCCTACCTGTGACTTCTACAAACGCCTCATCCGGCATCGTCGCAGCGAGATCGTTGAACCATTTCAACCCGTCTTCGGGCTCGAAAGCTGGGTTTTGCGCCCGTGGCGTCATACGAGGACTCACGCCCTCTGGGTGATCATACAAATGTTTGGCAACCGTTGAAATCGCCCTAGGACAGATGACTGTGCCACCCCCGCCGGGTACGATATCGGTCCAAAGTGGGATAACCAATAACCCCTGTTCAGGACTGTCGAGGTAGTGAACGAAGAAGTCACCATCAACATGCCAGCCCTGAAGTTCTTGAGGCTTGATGACTTTGTTATGGCCTTGAGGCGTCCCGAGATTGACAATGAAGCCGTCCTTCCAGGTTGAAGCGTTGGAGTCGACACGTTCGGCCCCGCCGAGAAGACTACATATCCCAGTCCATGCTTTGGGCGCGAATTCGGCGACGAAGAACTCGTTGAAGAAGGGCATATTAGTCCGTTCAGTATGCCTTGGTGACTGCATTAGTGAGACTGATTACCTGACAATGGTTGTGATGAGGTCGTCAATGAGGACGGCATCTTGAATGAGAGCTTACCACGTTGATTTGTCGTTCGGATCCATACCCAGTCGAACCCATAATGTCTCTTGGAGGCTTTCGGCTTGTTTATGACTGAAGCAGTCGGACAGCTTGAGCCATCCGTGTTGGAGGAAGTGGTCGACTTGCTCGTCCGAGAGTGTGAACCTTTCTTCTACATTCGCCATGTTCACCTAACAGTTTCTTCGTCCTGCGATATAATATAGAAGATGTAATAGTGAAGTCCCTTGTGATGGATTTCAGTGCAACATTCGGAAGATAGGTGGAGTGGTGAAAGCGCTCCAATTCAACAACAGAACAGAGTATGACCTTTTGTTATTTCCGCGCCACCATGCAGGACGACATATAACCTTGGAGAACTGTTAGCAAGTTGGGACGGCACAAACGGTACAAGTACTCTTTATCCGGTGGATGGGTACGAAGAGCTCGAAACGCGCGGTTAATGCAGACTGCGGGGCGAGCGGTTTGGGGAACCCGGCGGGGCAGCCTTCTGATCACCACAACCCCGAGGAACTAATGCGTCGTACCGTCAAACAATTGGTTTGAGTCATATTGTCATGATCGTCGCCTGCAATTGGACACGCTACGGCACGACGGGTAGTTCCCAGTGGTAAGGTAGCAAGGTGTGTTCTATGTATAGTGGTGCGATGACTGGAGCAAAAATGTACAGTCTGCTTTATTGATACATTATCATCATGATCTATTTCCATTGTGAGCGTTAATACTCTAATTTCCAGGCCACCAGAGGTAGTTGTTGGTCTCCTCCGCAGAGTCGAAAAAGAGCTCGCTACTCGAATTAACTGGTCGTTCGGGGAAAACGTTGGTGACGATGTCCCACATGTACATGTCTGCGACCTGTACAGTGGAATTGTGGTCAACCCAGATACCGAAACCTGTGCTGTCAGTACGTGCTGGGTAGATACGGGTGGTCAGCCAGAATCGGTCCTGCGAAAATGAGTTAGCATGCGTCGCCTGAGCGTTTTGCCACTTCGTGAGAACTTACGTTGACGAGGATCTCAACGAGCGAGCCGTCGACAAAGATGTCCATGTGCAGAGACTCCTGAGTACCGTTGGAGAACGTGTAGGGATAAAAGTAGCCAATCATGGTGTAGTTGGCAAATTGCGCGATAGAAGAAGAGCGCGAACGATCGACGTTGATCGTGTAGTTATCAGGGCTGTACCAGATAACCGTCTGCTCCTCACGACCTGGAGATTGAGCAATGGTGACACCTGCAGGTCCAGTAAAGTTGGAAAGCGTGGCCTTCAAGTGCATGTGGCTTGACCCGTTTCCAGCAGGCAAGGTGGTAGTCCAGGTTTGGGTCACATTGATAGCCTGGCCTTCAGCTCCGTCATGTAATCCCTTCACAACATCGGGTAAGGCACGAGCACCAAGTGTGTAGGCGGTCAAAGTTCCGTTGCCATATTCGACGACGCGGTTGTTACCCTTGCTCGTCAAGGCACCATCAGGATTGATCAGGTCGTTGGTCTTGATCACATACATCTCTCGCGGGATGGCCATAGCACCCTGGTAGCCTTGCTGAAGAGCAGAGTAGCCGTTATGCTCCTCGTTGGCCCAACCCCACTGGACACGGCGATTGTTCTTGGTATCGTTGAAGCTGGTCACAGCGTACAAAAGTCCAGAGTCGATGGCACCACCAGAGATAGGCATGAACTCAGCTGAGCCGTTTTCACGCTTGGTGACGTAACCTTCGTTCCACAAACCCCATTGAGGGCGAGGGTGCCATGTGAGATTACCACCCTCGGTGCCCATGAGCGTGTAGTAATGCACTTGATTATCCTCGTCAGTGAGAGAGAAGAAATTCGAACTGCGAATGTCAGCAAGATACTTGCGCAGGATACAAATCAACTTACACTTCGAAGTTGAAGCCATAGGTACCCGTCTCGAGCAGCGAGCCGAGGGTCCCATTCATTTCAGGCTCCCAAAGAGAGCCGAGGAAGGTCCAGTCTGTCAGATTGGATTGAGGAGCACTATAAAAGGGGATACGGCCACCTCCTCCTTCGCCTTTGATACCAGAACCGAGTACCATGTACCAATGGGGCTCAGACTGGCCGAGGAGAGCATCCATTTCTGGCCATGGCTCGACAAATGGATCACGCCATCCAGTGATATTCCAGCCCTCTGGAGGATCTACCATGATAGGGTTGTCCTCATACTGTTCCCATGTCTTGCCGCCATCGTTGGAGATGGCAATGCTCTGTGTCTCAGTACCTGGAATGTAGGGAAGTGCCCAGTTGGTAGGTAACTGTCCCACAGAGGTGTAGAAAGCAATCAAGGTACCGTCCTGTTCCCCAGAGATGTTGTAAGGCTGCGCCGAGCCACTGAAGATACCAAGTCCATAGTAACTTTCATTCCGAGAAGTGGGGTTCGGCCCGGTCGCCAAAGATTGGGCTTGATCGCCCTCCCATCCGCCTACGTCCGTCCATGTAACAAGATCCTTGGATGTCGCGTGTCCCCAAGTGATGTTACCCCAGAACACATGATTTGGATGCCATTGATAGTGTAGATGGTATGTGTCTTCGGTGGGATCATACATCATACCACATGGGTCCTATGTTCAGTCAGCAGCTGAGGATTGATTATGATGATCATGGTAGCATGAGTCTCACATTCAACCAGCCGGCGGGAGAGGTGAAATGGTATGTTGGCCGCCATCTGTTGAACAACGAGTTGTTGCGCAATCTGTCGATGATCTCAGTTGTCAACACAGTCGGCAAAGCTGAGGCATCCTGCGCTGTGACAATTGATAAGGACGCGAGCCCAAGGGTCATGAATGAAGTAGCCTTTCGCATCATGAATCGAGGATGGCTATGCAAAGAGCGTGACAGCCATCTTTGCTGGGAGTGCGCGGATGGATTTTTATAGCTATTTGTTGCTCACAAGAGAGAGCAAAGTTCTGCCGTACTAGAAAGCCCATGTCATTATAGTGTGACCCTAAGCCATTTGGATTGGAGCCTCTGCCAGTCTGGTCTGGGCAGATGGAGTCATAACGTGGCTGGGACATGATAGCGCGTATTCGATCCCCGCAAAATCGGAAGAAAACCCCTCATACTTCTCCACAACGGATGAAAACGTTCCTGCACGCCATCGTTCTCGAACGAGTACCATGAGGCTGGGTTGATACTACTTGCGTGATTGCATGGAAAAGCATGTGCTGTCGTTGAACGACAAGATTCCTACCATCACGGGTAAGCTTCGGGCTGAAGTGGTACCTGTGTTTGGAGAAGATCGTGAAGATGTTTTCGAATGATGAATCGCTTTGAGGCTTGGAGTCCAAGAATAACCGAGAAATCGCGAGGCTGTTATGGGTGGTCAAGCCGAGTATTGTCCCGAAACAAAGTTTTGCTGCTAGGCATGACAAGGACAACACCCGTTGACCAACAAGATGCCAGGTGTGGAGCTGTAGAGTACGGTTGAGCTGGAGTTGTCCGGTCTGTCTGCCTTGCATCGGCTTGGCTGGCGACGTCATCGTAGATGACTAAACACCCGTGACGTCCGTGAGAGCTCCACATGCATTCTAGTCTAGTTATCTCGGAGAGTTTGAGGATCACGTTACTTGTCTTGTGCTATAACGTGATCCACCACCGAGCGCCCACCCCCACCGAGCGCCCACTAACACCAAAATCCACCACCCACTAAATGAGGATATTGCGCCACCTACAATAGCTATTATCACAAGATTTCTTAGAGTCGCGATTATTAGATCTATTAGAGTAGATTAAATATTTTAGATTATATAAGCAGCTTTTTAGGGGGTCTAATTAGGCGCCTACGCTATAAAGTTGCCTCTACTACTATATCCTCTTCTACTAGCTCCTTATTAACCACCTTAGCTAGTATAATAGTAGGAGGCTTAAGGATTTACCTCTTACCTATTTAGGATATTTTAATATTATTTTAGAGTTACTTTTCTAGTTACTTAGTAGTTTTCTACTTATTATATATAGTAGCTTTTTAGGTAGCTTTCTCCTCTTACTCTTTCTTAGTAATTACTTAATTTAGGTAACACTCTTTTATAAGTTAAGCTTTAGCAAGCTTCTATTACTTATAAAGCTTAATTACCTTACTTTTTTAGTATTATAGCTCCTATTCTTTAAGGTTCTTTTACTCCTAAAGCTTAAATACTTGCTCTACCTTTAATAGTAAAATAAATTAGGCACTACTACTATAATTATTATTAGGGGGTAATAATAAAGGTTTACTACGCTTCCTACACTTCTTCTTATTAGCTAGGGTAGCCCTTAGGTGTTTATTTTTATAGTTAAGTAAAGTATTTCTTACTAATATAGTATAGATTATCTAGCTAAGCTTCTTTAACTATTTATTATAGATATTAATTATAATATTATAGAGTAACTACTCTATCTTTCTCTAATTACTTACACTTAATATTAAGGTTATACTATTACTTAAAGAAGGCTAGTTACTATTATTTATAGGTGCTTTAAACCTTAAAAGGATAATATTAGGGTTAAGTAGTAAGATACCTATTACTTTAAAAGCTATTAATATTAGCTTTTCCTTAAAGGTATTACTCTATATAGTATTAAATAACTAGTAGAAATCCTTCTTAGTAATACTTATAAGCCCTTAGGAGCTATCTAGAAAACTAGATAGTTAAGCTTTATATAAAGCTATAAAGGGAGCAAATACTATAATATTAAGTAGCTAAAGGGTATAAGTACTATAAGGGGGATATATTATAAGTAAGATCTTATATTTATTATAATACTTAATAAACTCTATTATTATATAAGATCTATAGCTATTAAAGATAAGGAGCTAGTATAAAGTATAAGCTTTAGCTTTTGTCTTATAATTAAACACCTCCTTAAGCTAGGATACCCCTAGGGTATAGCTTATCTACCTACTTAGTAATCCTATAAAGAAAGCTTAGTATTATAATAGGTTAAAATCTTATAACTAGGTATCTTATAGAGCTCTAGATTAGGACTAATAAATAAGAGTAGGGGTAAGAGTAGTACTATTAGTGTATATATAAGCTATAGTAGTAATCTACTCCCTATTACTATTCTAGAGTATAGCTCTAATCTTTCTCTACTTATAGGCGCTTTTATTAAATATATATTTAGTTTTTAATAGTACTCTAATAAGAAAACCTTTCTTATCTATATTATAAATATACTAACTCTTAATATTATATTACTTTATTTTTTAGTATAAAAGCTTAAAGTATAAGCTATACTTAAAGGTAGAATTAGCTTTAAAGTAGTTATAATTAAGCCTAGTAGCCTAATAGGAGATAAGATTAATATTATAGTAGTTAATAAAGCGCTATACCTAATTTTTACTTACTAGATTCCTTATTATTTTAGTTATAAAATTTTAAATAATAGTCTATATAAGAGGTAATCCTTACTTATAAAGCTCTTTAATATACTCTATAAGCTTACTTTCTTATATAGTATTAAGTATTTAACTATTTAGTAAAGTAGTAGTATATACTTACTAAATTTTCTAGTAGCATCTAGATAAGGTTAACTATAAGTAACTATACTTTTCTACTATTTCTAAGTATATAAAATCTTCTCTAAGAGTTAAGGATTTAATTACTACAAGCGCGTTATTAATAGGTGCTATAGTTATTAAGAAATTTAGTGTTAAAAATTTAGTGATTTTAGTGTTAGTGGGCGCTTGGTGGGGGTGGGCGCTTGGTGGTGGATCACGTTAAAAATAGCCAGGGTGTAGCAGTGGCAGATCACATGACACTCAAACTACCCGAGCGCATGAGTTTCAATGTTGCCCCAAACTCCACACGTGGCCGCAACCCAACAACACGTGAACCTCGTTGACAACGCGTTGACAGCCACCATTCATTACTCCACCGCCGAAGATACTCCTCTTCAATGGGCAAAGACATCTCCTTGTAGTGATTCGCAGACGTTGCCACTGCCTTCACCATGAGCCGACTGAAGCTGTTCGTTGCGGTAATGGCCCTCCTTTGCTAGGCAGACATTGTATACATGTGGAATGCTGATAGCCGTAGGGCTCGGCCGTCATGGCCAATGTCGTGCTCATGCGCGCGTACTATGAGCGCCCCAACTTCTACTCTGCCGCCGTCTACATCTCTCAAAGCACCGGTTCGCTGATGTTCCTCGTCAACCTCATGCTCATAGTCGCCGCCAGCTTTGGCTATGGACTCCAGCGGTTGTTTTACGGCCCGCTCCGCCCTATCGAGACTGAGCAGCTCTATGACAAGGCTTGGTTTGCTGTCAGTGAGACTCTCCTGGCCATGACCATCTTCAGAGACGACATAGGCATGTGGTTCTTTGCCATGTTTCTGTGTCTGCTTGCGGGCAAAGTATGGCAATGGATAGGCGAAGGCCGGGTCGAATTTCTGGAGCAACAACCACCGGCGAATCCGAAACTCTTCCACACTCGGTTGATGAGCTCTTTGCTTTTCTCGGTCGTTTTCGATATCTACATGATGCAGTACTGCATTGACTCTATCCTTTCAGAAGCACGCCCCGGCGTCAAGGTCATGTTCGGCTTCGAATACGTGTTACTGGCTATCGCATCCATCTCCACCCTCCTACGGTATGCGCTTTCTCTTGTGGAGCTTTATGTGACGCACCGTCAAGAGAAGGCCCGGGAAGAAGCCCGACAAGCCGCGAGGGCACTTGCACGGCAGAGTGCTGAGACTAGCGGAGCAGAGGCACCTGTGGCGGAGGAAGAAGACGAGGACGAAGGTGATGTGCCCGGATGGGAGGAGAAGGGTCGATGGGTTTTCTATTTGGACCTGGCCACGGACTTCATCAAGTCTGTTGTCTATCTTGGATTCTTCATGATCCTTATGACCTTTTACGGTATCCCAATTCACATCATGAGGGATCTCTTCATGACGATCCGTTCTTTACTCAAAAGAATTAAGGACTTCGTTCAATATCGAAACGCCACGCGCGACATGAACACGCGCTATCCGGATGCGACTGCGGAGGAGCTCGAGCGAGAAAATACATGTATCGTTTGCCGTGAGGAAATGAAGCCTTGGGTACATCCCGGTGCAGACGGAGCTGCCACCGCCCGGCGTATGGACGAGCGACAGCGACCGAAGAAGCTTCCATGTGGTCACATTCTGCATTTTAGTTGCCTCCGGAGCTGGCTGGAAAGACAGCAGGTGTGTCCGACGTGCCGCCGCCCAGTCCTCAGCCAGACAACAGCGCAGGCTACCCAGGGGAACAACGCCGCAAACCCGGGCGCGCCCAATCCACCAAACCAGCAGGTTCAGCAACGTCAAGGTGTTCTGCCAGGTTTTCTCGGTGGCAACCCGCTAGGCGGAGGTGGGCAACCAGGACAGCAACCTTTACCTCAGCAACAAGGGCAAGCCAATGCAGCCGCTGGAAACATGCGTGTGTTCAATCTTGGTCCGATCAGGGTTGCGTTGGGAAATTTACGATTACCGCCAGGCCAGCAGAACAATGCGGATAATGTAAGACAAGCTATGGATCAGATTCGTCAGCAGGCTATTGCGGATCGTGTGGCGCGCAACGTAAGTCCGCAAAACCAAGGGTCGGCGAACGCAGCATTAACTCTTCAGAATCCGCCACAGGCTCAAGTTACAGGTCCTCTGCCAGGGGCGACGGCACTGCATCCCTCAGATATACAATCGGACATATTGCGGATCCAACAAAACATCATGGAGTCTATGCGCCAATTACACGTGCAGCAGGAGGAATTAGAGGTAATCCATGGGCTACTTGGTGAGCTCAACAGACTCCAACAGACTTCAGGAGTGAGCGGAGTCGCTGGGAACGAGCTTCCGGCCATAGCGCCTTTACACCCACCGACCATGAGCTCTTTCACACCCCAAGCATACCTCGCCAGAGGTGAAGCCCTACGCCAGGGCGATGCTGGTGTCCCTGATGGCTTGTCACTTCCAGAAGGTTGGACCTTGAGGCGGATGGTATTGGCAACACGATCTGAGCCAGAGGGGTCCTCCCCGACCTCTTCTGCCCATCAAACCCGTGCAGCGGCGGGCTCTGCTTTTGGACCAAGACCAGCAACTTCAGAGGCAGAAGTGGAAGCTCCTGTGGCTGTTGCCACAAATTCTGGTTCTGCCGCAGACTCGTCACCTCCAAGGGTTGAATCGGATTCTCTTGGATCGAGCTGGAGTTTTGGCAATGCCGAAGGTTCAAGCTCTGCGGTTGCCACCGCTGGTAGTACCTCTGACGGACAGAATGTGACAAAGCGAGCAGTGACGATTGAGGACGCTGAAGACAACGGTCAATGAATGTACAAATATTGGGCCATGAGACCGGGGATTGCATAGCGAGGCGTTTGGGGTTTGGACTTTATCTCTAGGATGTGAATGGGCTGCGAGCGACACATGTCTTGCTTGCAGCAACATGTATATGCTAACGCTGCAAAGGGGTGTGCGTTCACTTGGCTCGGCCTCCATTCCATTCTCAGATTGTAGGTTTGTTTGGGCAAATTTGCACTCCATGTGAGTCTTGCATTGGGTGCATGATTGCGCCCTCTGGACACGGTCTCTGCCATTTCATGTGATGCGATCTGTAATTGATAACTGCCCGACAACTCACATCTGACATGTGTTCTCGGTTCAACTGGGGGGGTCGAGGGCTGCAATACAGGATTGGCTCGGATACGTCTCGATTGGCACTAGTCTGATAGGTGATTTAGCTGGATAAAGGAGACGTCTGGGCTTCTCCCGCATCTCTTCTTCAATCAATGGGTTACTTCATACTCTCGCAACAACATTGGATACCATTCCATGCAGTCTTGATGCAAGCTCTAGAGTCGTTTCGAGGACAGCCACTCGACAAGCTCATCCTGGAGGTCTATGTAGTCCTTCGCACAACGAGCGGAACAAGCGTAGCCACTCAGGCGACAGAGGTTGTCCAAAGCTCGACACACGAGGCGGCTAGATGCATGCCCACGAACAACAACAAGGTTGAAACGGCGGTGCTTGCCATGCGAGGATTATTGGTGGCACCCAGTAACAGATGCAGGCATGCAATTGGGGCTAGGCGCATCTGTTTAGAGCATGTATGGTGCATGTATGGTGCATGGCCTGGGCACCCGCTGTGGATAAGATCAGGGCGTTCGCTAACTAGGCTGGCTATACAGAGGTCGAGATGACTCTTTACACGTTCGCTAATGGCACTCGAGCACACAGTCGAACTCTCTTAAATTGATGGTCCTTGGTTCCCGTTGAGTCTCTATGTTTCGCCTCGTCTGGTTGCATTTGCATTTGCTCAATGGCAAGCAGAATGAATCCTCCGTCATGGCACAGGGCTGACGGTAGCGACGGTGACGCCAAGGTCTCGAGCTGCATCATGGAAATCATCCACGCATTCCAAAACGGACTTAACATCTTCAAGCGATTACGCGAGAGGCGAAAGAAGCGTCGACCGCGTAAAGGCAGTCAAGCACCAGACCCAACAACAAGTGCAGAGTTGCAGCTTTCGAAGAGCTTGCGTAGAGGGCCGGAAGAGCTGACCGAAACATATGCCCAATGCTACTACAGCGGCATGGGTCCGCAGTTCGCCAAAGGTGATTGTGAGTATAACTTTAACCATCACCGTCTCTCCTTGCTGACACTGTGGACGAGCGATTGCACACGCGTCTTTGGCAGAAACATTGATCAAATTGAACACTGGCCTTGTCGGAATTATTGCAACATTTCTAAACCGCGATTTGAAGAACAGTAAAAGCCGCTTGCATCTAGACTATGGATCGCTCATAGACCTCTCCGAAGCATCGAGAAGAGAGGCACTGCACAGCATGGCCCAATTGTACCAAAGATTGAGTCCATCTCAATTGCAACTTCATGCACCGACTTGTTCACGTTGTGGCACGTCAAGCCACATTGACTGTTCAAGTGACAGCAAATTTTCTGTGAGAGAACAGAGGAAACACGCAGGCTCGCGCCAGCGCGCCGATGGCTCTGTTGTGACACGCATGCCAATCAAGACTTCAAGCCATCCACAACTCGTCGTCATGAGGCCAAAATCAACGAGAAAGAACAGTAGTTTGAGAAACAACTCCAGTGCCAGCAAACCACCCCCAAATTCCACGTACGCGACGACAGCCATGTCGTCAGTCATTTCAAAGTTCATCGTCATGACGCCCATTGAACTCCCAGCATCAAGTGTTATCAAAGGGACGATGGGCGTAGCACCGCCATCACCCAGAAGCCCGAGAATCGATTCCTTTGATGATCCGAGACCATCGAGATGGCCATACAACGACAAGGGCCACGCCTCAGAGCATATAGACTATCCCCGACCCCAGCTCACTAACTTTAAGTCTACTCCTAAGCACTGCACACCATCATCAGAGAGGGAATCAGCCCATCGGACCTCTCCTCCCATTTCGTCTTCACCAGTGAAACGCCGGATGGATAAAGTCACGCCGTCATCCTATACATTCGCATCCGACAGCACCAAATTAGGCGAAATACCACAGTTCCACTGGACGAGGCCTTGGGACTACGAAGAAGCAGAGCGACTTAATTCCGAAGCTGCTTTGAATCCACAGCCAGCTGTGACCATGCCGGTGGAGAAGACAGTGAAGAAGAAGGGTCTCTTCAGGAAAATTTTGAGTAGAGGCAGTGCCGCTGGCGTCGCTGTCAAGGTATAAGTGAGATGTATAGTCGGGTCGTTCATCATGTCTACCTCCTGTTGGCGTTTGGTTCTTGTGTTTTGTTGTATACCTGATTGTATCTTGTCACTGTCGTTTCCTGGTTATTGTCGCTGGCTCGTTTCATCACTCTCCACTCATCATTTTGCGGGAATGTCTCCGATGCATCTATATTGTCTTTTTGCTCATCACTTTTATGATTCCATGTCGTCAGTTCACTTCTTGGGCTTTGGGGTAAGTCGTTTAGCGTTATGAGTTATGATGATACTGATGATGATGACGATGTGAAACGACTTTGTGATATACTATTGGTCTAGCTTAGCATTATGTAAATGGTAGAGACGTGTGTTATATCCATAGTACTAATAATCTTTACATTGTTCTGGCTTTTCAATAGTCCTCTTGAAATTGACGGTGATGTCTGTTGATCGAAGAAGATTTACACAGTGATGTATTAGAGCATAATTCCTGTCCATGCGTGGCATCTTTATAAAGGGTGAGTTTTGTATCTCTTCCTTTGTTCCTATTGCGATTGACCAAAGTTGCACCTGATCATAGGCTTTCCCTCTACTATCCTACTTGTAAAATATAATGGATAGAAGAAGTTCCATACGAGTTTGAGTTTGAGTTTGAAAAATTGCACTTCATAGCACTCTTGGATTCGATGATAGATATAAATAGACTTGACGCAAAGTAACCTTTCGATTCTGCTTGCCGCATGGTCTCTAAAGGTCTACTATGGAGACATGAACACTCCCTAAACCATTGCAACTCCATATGTGCATTGCCAGTCATTTTCACAGACTTCAACGGTGCGGGCTCTATTTGGTCTCGTTTTCTGGTGTGACAGCAAAGGTTGGTCGGACAAATCTAAGTTCACATAGTTAGTCTGGGATCCCGTCAAGACCCAAAGCTCTTCAACGTACCGGTCGCTGTGGTACACCCTCGTATCTGAGCCCATCAATTCTTTTTCTCTCGCCTTATCCGCCAGATATCTTCGTACTTGATCACGGTCTTCCTCGGCCTGTAGCGCAGGGATGAGGTGTATCCGTGCCCACATCTTCTCGCGCGCGAGTTCGCTGTAGCATGTCAGTAACACTCCTCGCTACAGCCCTGCGATCTATTGTCCCCGAGCGATTAACACATACTTGTGCTCCCTGATTCCCTGCCCAACCCTCCAGAATCCATATGTCATCAACACGGCTGTTCCAACGAGGTATGCGGCTGGTCGGAAGCCACGGGCGGGTAGGTTGCGCTTGTATTGGACGGGGTTGTAGCCGCCACTTGGCGGCATATCCTGAGGCATGGTGGGCGGTGATGTTTGTGGCTCAATGGGCGATTGAAGGGTGTCGTCAATGCGGAGACGAGCGTGAGGTTGTCGGCTGTCGGAGCTCTCACGATGCTGCCTACCGAGACCAGGGTAAGGCTTGGCAAGCTAGTACTGAACGTGAGCACAATTTTGTCGATGGCTGAGTGGGTGTGTTTCAATTTCATGACTGCCATGTCAGAAAACAATCAGTTGCTGGAGACAATGGAGCCAGAAGAAAGACCGGCAAAGATGCGCAAGCTGGAGCATGCTGAAAGTGTTGGTGACACCACTGCTCCGGATGTTGCGCCGGCGAAAGCAACTTCAGACCAGCAAACTGCCATGACTACACAGACTGGCGAAGCTAATAACACTGATGTCAAGCCTACAACCACGGAGCAGAATGATGGTGACGATGCTGCACCTACAATTTCCAAAAATCAGCTCAAAAAGCAACGACGCCACGAGCGTTGGGAATCAGGGCGTGAGGATCGCAAAGCGAAGCGCAAGGAGAAAATCAAAGAAAAGAAAGAGCGCCGACGAGAACTGTACGCTCAAGCCACGCCGGACGAAGATGGCAATAGACCTAAGCCACCGCCTACCAGACCACCAAAGCATTCTGCAGGCTTAGGGAAGCAACTTCCCGTCACTGTCATCTTTGACTGCGACTTTGAGGAACTCATGTATGATCACGAACTCAAGAGCTTGGGGTTACAAATCACGAGATGCTACAGCGACAATCGAAAAGCCAAATTCCGGACACACCTCGCACTTGCCAGTTTTGGCGGGAAGATGAAAGAGCGTTTCGATGGCATCCTGGCAAAGCAGTACACGAGCTGGAAGGGGTTCCAATTTTTTGAGGATGATTTTGTGGCGGTGGCTGAGAAATCCAAGGAGTGGATGCGTGGGCCCAAAGGAGGAGAAGTTGACGGAGCCTTGGAATCCGGGAAAGATGATCAAGCAGCCGAAGGGGAGTCGAGTGAAGAAGCAGCAGGAGCAGCAGCAGCGTCGTCGTCGTCGTCATCAGAAGAGGGCGAGATTGTCTATCTCTCGTCTGAATCGGACAATGTCCTTACACATTTGAAGCCCAATAGCACCTATATCATTGGCGGGCTAGTCGACAAGAACCGACACAAGGGCATCTGCCACAAGCGGGCCGTCGCTCGCGGTATCAAGACTGCAAAGCTGCCGATTGGGCAATATCTCGAGATGAAGAGTCGACAGGTGCTCGTTACCAACCACGTGCTGGAGATCATGTTGAAATGGCTTGAGTTTGGGGACTGGGGCAAGGCCTTTATGGAAGTCATGCCCAAGAGAAAGGGTGGAAGACTGAAGGGTGAGGGTGGCGATGAGGAGGAATCGCATGCGGCGGGCGATGAAGGGGATGAAAGGGATGAGGGGGTTGGGGGGATGGGCGACGAGCAGCTGGCTGATGAGGCCGAAGAGACAGGGCAAGGGGAGGACAAGATGGCCTGTTAGGTCTTCGCAGTAGTAGACGTCTATCAGGGCTTTTTGGACCATGCTCTCTACCTACTTGATCTACGCCAGCTATTGTAGTATTCTATGGACACAAGACGACTCCAGTCCTCAGCCTTGTCGGCTAGCGGCAGCTAAGCTTTACGGGACCTACCGGTAGTGGACATGGGCCGCTAACTGCCTAGCGAACCGCCAGCGATCCGAACTGGTACCGTAACGTTGTCCCAAATGCAAATGCGGGTGGTGGGAAGAAAACCGAGTCAAAGAATGGCATCCAACCAATTCGATAATGGAGCTGTCCTGATCTTTACCAAGGCCACTTGGCTTTCTAGCATCTGTCTCTTGTGCACATCATCTCCGCCCGGTCCATGGTGTTCTGTGCCCGCAGCATGTCGGCATTCCTCGCGCAGAGTTTTGCTGGAGTGCTGCCATGTCACAAGTTTACGCGACGTCACAGAGACACAGCTACATCTCCGCTCGCGACCCAGCCAGCACAACACGCCTCACATACGACCCACTATTCATTCAGGCACCCACCTGGCCGACTGATCACTCGACTCACCATGTCTTCGGCCCAGGAAGAGCCACAGCATCCGTCCCCACGATCACCCCGCCCACAACCAGCGCCCTCACAGCAGCGGTCGACGCCTAACCGCTCCTCGTCGTACTTTACCTACCCCGTCTCCTATGCCGTGTCGGGCATTATGCGCCGTCTGAACACAGACACAATTCCCAGATCAGACGCGACAAGCTCATCCGAGACTCACAACCCCAGCTCCAGCCTGCAATCGCAGTTGCAATCGACCGCATCCTCCCTTAGCCATTCTCTTGCTAGCCTAGTATCTTCCTCGTCCTCCACCACCACGGCCACAGACATGGACTCGGTGTATCATCCGTCAAATCGGACTGCGAGCCCCTTCCAGCCACCACCGCTGACCCCACTCACCTTGCGAGGCTACCGAGATGGGATGCGAGAGAAGGGCAAGCTGCTGAGTACAGCGCTGGCCGAGGAGATTAGACTGCTTTTCCCGCCGAGGCTACAGTTGGTGGATGAATGGACCTTGGCTTATAGTTTGGAGCAGAATGGCGTGAGTCTAGCGACGCTCTATGAAAAGTCTGAAGACTACCGAGGAAAACGAGGTGGCTTTGTGCTGGTTGTGAAAGATGGCGGCGGGGGAGTACGTATCCGAAATCTCACGCCGCAGTGCCCCATACTAATCCCACCAAAAGGTCTTTGGCGCATACCTTTCCGATCCACCGCACCCCTCCACTTCCTTCTACGGCAACGGCGAATGCTTTTTGTGGCGTGCACACGTTCTCTCCTCCCTTCCAGACCTTGCTGCAAATCTGCCACCCCCACCTTCAGAGGACACAACAAACGCTGTTCGCATGACCACGATATCATCTCCAAAGAAAGATAAGAATGGCGATACTCTGTCACCCCGGCAAAATGGACAGGCAAGTAAAAGCGGTTCAAACACACCGGAACGGATAAGATTCAAGGCGTTTCCGTACAGCGGTGTGAATGACTACATGATCTTCTGCGAGCAGAGCTACCTGAGTGTAGGCGGAGGGTATGGACGTCCAAAACCAACACAAAGACATGGACTTCCTTGCTAACAGCTGTGTAGTGATGGCCACTATGGCCTATGGCTGGACGACAACCTAGAAAACGGCATTTCCGATACCTGTCCGACTTTTGGCAACGAGCCACTCAGTGACGAGGGCAAAAAGTTTGAAGTCATGGGCGTGGAGCTCTGGTATATTGGCTCGTGATGGAAATGTACAACTTCGATTTCACATGATACCCCCTCTTGATGCAAGGAAGAAAAGAAAAACAATCTGAGATGAGAAATGGCAAAGGAAATACTGATTTCTTCCGTGTCGTTCTGAGTTTTGTTTTGCAGTACTAGACTAAGGCTTGACAATGTCTTTGAAGGGAACTCGGCCAGTTGGCGTCGCGGTACAGATTTTTTTTTTGAAAAATGAGATTATGGCGCATTGGATACCCTGCATGATGAACTTTCGAAGCTCGCAAGTTTTCGTACGGCATCTTTTCTTACAGCATCTATCTGCGTCTCTTGCCGTCCATATCAACATTGCAGGACATTTTTTTTTTATCGTGCTCATCGTGGAACTCTTCTCGCCATACAAGGCTATCGAAGTCCTTCCTCAACTCATGAGTGCCCCTCATGTGATGCTCGGATCCCATCTGCAGCTGCAGCGTTTGTGTTTATAGTATACCCAATGATGATAGGGAACGACTCATGTGGTGTTGACTTGCCATTTGCCCCTTCCTTTGGGTTCCCCAACGGCCCCATTAGCTAGAAGATGCAGGTGCAGATGCAGATGCAGTGCTCCGAGACCCTGGTCTGTGAGTGGTTGAGGGGGCACGACAGCGTGGAGTGCGGGTGAGGTGCAGAGGAGTGCAGGGAGGTCTTTTAGTGTGTATGTTGTGGTATGTGAGTTTTGTGGGTGCATGCGTTGGGTGATGCAGAGTTGGGGCGTGGGGGGGTGTGAGTTGATTCGGACGAGGTGAGTGAATGCGAGGGATTGGGTTGTCTTGGAATAGGCCAGGTAGAGTTTGTGCTGTTTAGGAGAAGGGTCTGCATGGAAAAGCAGACATCAATCGTACCCATTACACGGCATCGCAACAGTATAGTCCGGAGTCTGTCCCACATGTCAAACACGTCAAAAGTGACCATGGACAAGCAATATGGTCCCGCAACATGCAGCAGCTAGAAATGTCGTGCATCGCTGCCGAATGGCAACGGGTGACACTGCGTGTGGAGAGGGTGCAAAAAATTGTTTGTTTTTTGTCCTCAACAGAACGGACGACGACCTGTTGGATGGTAGGGGTGTGAATGTGGGGAGGGGTGTGTGAGTTTGATGATGTTTGTGGCGTTGATGACGATGGTACAGTTCGTTGTGAAATGGATACGCATGTTGCATGCTAGATGAAGGAAGAGGAGGCGGCGGAGGAGGAGGAGGAGGAGGAGTGAAACAGTGGCAGCCAGTACCATATTGCCCATGTGAGATCTACGGTACCGTAGCCTCATGATATCGCTTTGGTAATCTACCCCACCTAGGTAATTGTCCCAGAAGAAGAAAGATCTGAATACAAAACCAGGAGGAAGCATGGCATCCAATCTCCACCTTCCTCCTCCCACCGATATTGCCCGCACTACACAAGCTCCATCCCCGGCCGTGCAGAGCAGCGGTGTAGCCATGTCGGCAGACCGTAAGCCAGATCTGCAGCTCTTCTCTGTACTACACCATTCTCTCCTGGTTGTACCGATTCCAGCCGAGACATGGAACCCGGGGCGGTTCGAAATAGTGGCATTTGCAGTGCATCGGATTGGATCGTGGAGGTTGGTATCGTGCCTAGTCCATGCGTGATGCTTGGACGGTTTATCGGTGAGCGATATGCGGCCAGGGCGTTGACGTTCATGTCGGTGCGGTGCTTTGGATTCATGCGGCTGTGGTCGTGAGCATGGACTGTACTAGTCATGTATGTACGATGGAAGGTAGAGTAGGGTCGCAGTAATCGTTTTTGCGGAGGAAATGGATGGATGCCTTGATTCTTTGCAAAGTTCTTCGTACCGGTATACGTAGCGTGACTACCGGTACCGTACGCCAACATTTATTGAATATTCACACACGACAACGAAGGGGTTTTTTTAACAAGAAAAAAAAAAAAAAGAGACTCAACCTCAGACCCATGTCTGCCCCAAAAGAGCAATGAAAAAACCCCACCAACCCCACGAGTCATGTCCACCTCTCTAGACCCTACCTACAGTACGTATGATACAATCTTGCCATGATACATACCTGTCCAGATCACAGCTCGCTACCATGACCACATCCAACTAAGATGGAAACAGTAGGTGACATGAACAAGCTCCCTCCCCCTCTCCTCCCAACCCACCTCACCTGTCGCAAACGACCCCCACCTGCCCGCAGACAGTGCCACGCGTTCCCACACCCATGCGCCAGCCTCGTGGCATCCTCGTGCTCGACCTGCCTCGTTGCTTTTGGTCGTCTTCTGCTCAACTGTACCATACCTGTACTTGGAAAGGGAAAAGATCTCCCGTCGCCAATCAATCCATGATGATGGCGTGCTCGCTCGCTGGTGTCGTGTGCACTGTGGTGTATGGTGACTATGGGCATGGTACTATTGTATGGGGAGTACCATCTTGTCACTGGACACTGGGCTGCACGCATAACCTCAAGCCAGTTTATTACCCAACACTAGTTACCTAGGTCCAGGCGCGATTCGTTGCATCTCGCCTCATCGTCTAGGCATCTACCCTACCGTACTGTTTACAATCGACTCAGCCAGTATCAGCCCATCCTCTATCGCTGTTGTTGTTGTTGTTGTTGTTGTTGTTGTTGCTACTTCCACCCAGCCCGGTCATATGTACATGTACACGTCCATGTCCATGCTTCATGTCGTGTACACATACATGGCAGAATAACCGGTTGTCGGTCTCGCAGCACAGCGCATCGCGACTTGCAACGCAAGCACCTCTAGGGGGGAGATGGAGACGACACCCACACAGCACCGCACATTACAGCAAATCACATCACAGCATACCCGCAAGAAATCAAGGGGGTAAACAAGATAAAAGAAACAAACACAGCAGCACAAAATAAACACGCAAAAAAAAACCTCCCTTCCATGGAACACTCGCGCCCAACCCCCCGGCCTGCTCCATGGGAACACGGCGTCCAGCGTCATGGAAACCCGAGTTCGAGCTTGGGAGCCACGGCGACAGCGCAGGCGGACAAGGCGATTGCGATTGCGAAGAAGAACAAGAAGAAAAAGAAGAGTAAAAAGGATAGGACGAGTTTGAGTCTGAGTCTGGCAAGGGCGGCGGAGCAGTTTCAGAGTCGGGTGTTGGCATTGGCAGGGGTGGGGTCGATGGGGATGACGAGGACGAGGGGGAAGGGTAAAGGAGAGGGGGAGGAAGGGAGAGGGAAAGAGGAAGGGGAAGGGGAAGAAGACGGGGTTCTAGGGAGGGGTGAGAGTTCGAGGTAAGCAGCCTTGAGGATGGATGGATTGGTTTGAATCGAATTGAATGGAAGCAAAAAAAAAAAAAAAAAGTTCTTGTGGCTAATGCTACCATGTCAAGCAGCAAGTTTCTAGAAGCACTAGTCCGACTACCAGAGGAACTGCACATGTTTATTCTCCGCGAACTTTGCGTGGCAGACGTACTCGCGCTCCGGCACACCTGCCGTGCCTTGAACTGGCTCATCATAGGCAATGCACCTGCCCTCGTTCGACACTGTGTTCGACAGCGGATGGGAAGTCTACATTTGCAATTGTATCCCGCGCCCAAGCCGGATGGCTTGCCTCTTTCCTTTTTACTGGCCATGCGCCGCCGCCACATTGCTTCTATCCGGCTGACGAGGCAACTCGCCAACCAGCTTGTTGGCCAGGGTGTGCAGTCGTCGTGTGGGCGGCAACGGCAGCTGTGGACGTCGGTGTACGAACGCATGTTACCTCTGGTGTTTGGCGTTGGCTATTTTCTCGACGAACATCGGCGAGTGTTGCTGGAAAGGGATCTGGGACGAATCCGGCCGAGATGGCCCATTGGATACGACATTTGTACGACGGAGGCCATTACCGGCGAGGAGCGCATGGTGATGAAGAAGCTGGATGGGCCGCTGAGGTTGCAGTATTTCTACCTGTACTGCTTCGTGCTGCAGGTGCTGCAACGCATGCTGCGACCTAGCCAGCCAGGCGGGATGATGGAGAGGCGTGTTTGCAGGCAGGCAGTGTGTGCAGAGGAGATTGCATTCCTCGTCCTGCTTGGGGGCATTGGGCAAATGGCCAAACTCATGGCCTGGCCGACGTATGAAGAGCGGCGGGGCTATCTGGATGCGTACATGACACACATGTCGCCGCACAGCAGCAAGTGCTGGCGGCGACACTGGAGGAACATTGGCGTGCTTTCACCCGCCTTGTTGGACGAGATTCCGTGTGCGCGGATTGGCATCACCCGGCTGGATCAGGTGTGGGCGCCTCTGATTGCCCAAATGATGGGACCTGGGATGCGGGAGTTTAGCGAGGCAGAGCGGGTTCGGTACGAGGAGGTCAGGAGAACGAAAAAGTACATCAACGAGGTGGTAGGGTACGATATCCTGCAGGGTAGGACAGCCGATGGTAGTAGCGACTTTGACGGCTTTGACGACTTGCCTGGCTCTGGACCGTAGTAGAGTGAGTAGGTAGAGTAGTTGTTGGGCCTATTTTTGTTTGACCGATGATGCTAGCATGACACATGGGACCTGCAGTTGATGAGGAGGAGTTTGCACTTTGCAAACTCATCAGCCTGTCGTAGTATGGGGATGGGTGGACGATGGGGAAGCCGTCAGCGTCTAGGATGAGTATGAATTACGTACTGGGCTAGGGAGAGAGCATGGGCCATGTACAAGTATGTACCTTGGAAGCGGAAGCGGAAGAAATGCTTGTTCGAGGCCAAGCGTGAGATGGGACATGACCTGACCGTCCGTCTCTCTTCGGCCGAGACAAAGGGCTCGCTGAGAAGGGTGCAGTGTTGTGTTTGTAATAGAGATTGGATACATGTAGTGTATGTGTGACTGCAGTCTGTATGTATCCAAGGTCTAGGAGGAGACGAGCCGAGGACGCGGTCAGATTGTACATGGGTAGGCAGATGGGAATCTACTACTCTAGACAGATGGTGACGACTATACCCAGTCCCATGGCGATTCTCGGTAGTACTTTACATGTGACGACAAGACGTATGGGATAGATGGATGCAGTAGGTACAGTACAATCTATATGCTGTAGCCATGTGCTGCATGGTTGAAGAGTATTATTATTATTATTATTATTATTATTATTATTATTATTATTATTATTATTATTATCATCATCATCATCATCATCATCATCATCATCGCTACTATCATAGGTGGCCGTATTGGATTGTATATACTGCATGTCAGTAGAGTACTACTACTGTGTGCAGTGTCGGCGGGGCGAGCAGCGGACAAGCGTGGTGGGCACTTGCCACTTGGGCCGGCCGGGGCAAGGGCAAGGGGCAGAAGGCGGAAGGCGCAGGGGGGGTTTCTCGGTTTGTCGTCTGCACTCACTCCCACTCACTCCCAAAAGAGGACATGGTGGGTAGCCAGGGCTGGCCCGGCTGGCCAATGGGAGGTTGCTGATAGGGAGGGCAAAAGACGGGCCTGGCTTGTAGGCTGGGTACTACTCCTAGCCTCGATGGATGATGCGTAATGGGACTATTACCAGTCTTGTACCATGGCGGCATGGGCAGGACATGGCATGGTACGGTAGCAGGTAAGAGTAGGCCAAGGGACATGGTAGAGTTAGACTTGTCCACCCTCCACCGGGTCCACACAGTAGACCGTGGAAGAGAGTACTAGGAGTACTAGAGTAGAGAGTAGAGAGGAGGGAAGTAGAGTAATCACGGCTTAGCCTCTCTTTCTACCGTACAGCCTACCCGTACATTAGCCTCACGTCAAAATTATCAGAATCCCGCTGCACTCGGCCACCCTACCCTGCTGCTCGCTCTACCTTGCCCTACCGGCCGGCTACCTCCTGTCTCTTGTCCCTACCCTACCCTACCTACTTCTCTCTCCACTCCACCCTCTTCTTCGCCTACGACATACATACATACATTCTACACACCACACCACACACCCAACTTCCGAGACTTGTCCACTCCTCCTCGCCTCTTTGCCCACCGCACACACTCCCACCCCACGCCCAACCCATTGTCAGCTGAGCCACCGATCAACCCAACACCATGAAGCCCTAGACCCTACACAGAAGAGGAGAGACAAAAACCCAGTCATGGACTTTACCGTACGTACCCACCCATCCACACTCATACACACACCTTCTCTTCCTCTCTCTCTCTCTCTCTCTCTCTCTCCCTCTCACGCACATGCGCGCGCTTAGGGCCACACGCCAGACGCCATTGCGCACATGATGAATACTCCCCAACTGACGGATCCCGCCTCTCATGACAGATCTCGCTCGCACACTTTTGTGAAATTCACGGTCCCACGTCCATCATCTGCACCCAAGCCTCGACCTCCCCCTGCGGTTCCTGCAACCCGTGCGCCACTCCGCCGTCCGAAGACCCGCAAACGGCCTACGCCTGCGACGCCCTCTACGCCAGCCAGCCGCCTGCCTCTCTCAACCTCAACCTCCACGCGAACCTGCCGCGCCCCCTCACCTCGCCCTTGGCGACTCCCCCCACCAGCCCACGCTCCCCGACCAACAACTCGTACTTTCCCACCTTCCCCCCCTCGTCTTCCTCCTCGGCCAGCTTTGCCCACCCCCGCCGCCCCAGCAGCTCCATCGACTCGGATGGCGAGACGTGCGAGAACTGCCAGATGGTAGTGCCCAAAAAGTACAGCGACAAGATCCCCAGCGGTGCCCCAGGCAGTCCCTCCAAGGACGGCCGCGGTAGGAACGGCAGCCCGGTCCTGCGAACCTGCAAAACCTTCCCCGTCCGCCGCCTGCCTTGCTCTCCCGATGACGGCAGTAGCACCGACTCGTCCTCGGACCTCTCAGACACGGAGCCGTCCACCTCCTTCCCAAGCGCCAAGTCCAGCCTCGACCCAGACTCGGCACCCGCTTCGCCCTTTCTCCTCTCCTCCCGCGACATGCACACCCACACGCTCAACTACATTTCCACAAGCCAGCCCCAGTCGCCGACGACGTACTCGTTGCTACGCCGCACCTGCATCCGCGCCCTTTCCACCGAGGTCCTCCCGTCTAGCAAGTCGTCTGGCCCGATGATGTTTGGAGATCCCGCCGCGGGCAACACGATTGCCTATGTCTTTCGTCTGCCAGATCCAAGGTCGCGCGGTGCCAGGCGAACCTATGCCCTCATCGCCATGACCGGCCGCAACGATCGCCGGGCCCCGAAAGCGTTTGTCCAGATTCTCGAAGTGTTTGAGAGGGTCGCGAATCGCATCGTCGCCATGGCCAACAACACGCTCGAGCGCGAACACTCGGTCTCGCAGACGCTCGCACGACCCAACACCACGACGGCTGCCATTTCGAGCCCCTCTCCGCTCCACCCTTCTTCCTCGTCCTCGTCCTCGTCCATGCCACCCTCTTTCAAGTGGGCGCAAAAGGACCAGAGCCCGTCTTCGACGGCCAGCTCCCCGACGCGCAACATCACCCCAGTCTCGTCCTTTTTATCCGCCAAGAGACTGGACCCGGACGGCTTCCCTCGCCTCTCCCGCGACCTGATGAAGGCCAAGAGCTTGAATGAAATCGTCGGCCAAGACACCTTTTTCGTCGAGCTGCACACCCTCTTCTGTAACCTGTTGCACTCGCTCATCATGCAGTTTGGATAAACGACCATGGCGCACTCGGTTGTACCACCACCCCACGTCTTTTGTTTCTCACGGCTGCGCCTGCACGTTTCCTTGTCGTCTTGCGTTTTAGCGTGTTTCTTTTTTTTTTCCTTCTATTGCTTGTTTTTTTGTTGTCCTTCTTTCCTCTTGCATGTCTTACCACGGCAACGGTGTTGGGCGTCGCCATCTCACACGACCTTTTTTGCTCTTACCCTTCTTCCTACGACAGTCTGTCCTCGGTACTCCATCTCGGCCAGGCTTTCCAACCTTTTTTCCTTTGAGATACCCTATACCTTTCCCCTTTTGTATTGGTATATGCATGGTTCATCATTAGACTACCTTTTCCTTGCTGCAGAGGGTTTTGAGCTTATGGATCCTTTTTGCGGTAGTGCGTAGTGCAGCACTTTCTTTGTTGCAGTCATGGGTGTGCGCTCGGGTGCGGGGCTGGGACCATGTGATTGCAGGACAGAGTGGGGACGGTTGGGCTTTCTACACACTTGAGAATGTATGAGGTTGTTCTTCAGATGTCTACTTGCTGTGCGTGCTCCTGCTCCGTGTTCTATACCCCACTCTCTTTTACCATGGGGTATGAAATCGGAAGCCCAAAGATATCAGCTACACGACACGACAGCGTTGGATGAAGAGCTTGACATGTGGTCCAACGTGCACCGTCACAAAGTCTGTACTTTTCCTTTTCCTTGTCCTCTAGCCCCCTCCTCACATCTCCCCCCCCCCTCTCTCTCCCTCTCCCTCCGGTTCGCATCCTCCACTCCACCAGCCCTCGACGGAACAAACGTACCCTTCACCCTCTCCACGTACGGCCGACACTTTTCCCACTTTTCGCAGAGGCGGCGGAGTTTGATTCGGAGGGCTTTTGTTGGTGTTGATGTTGGTGGCATGGGGTTTTGGTGGGTGTGTGTAGTTGTAGAGGGTTTGGCTGGGGACATGGGGAGTGAGGTGTAGCATTTCTCCTACACAAATACACATGTAGACATGCGCATTCCCAATCTCATACCTCGTCATCAAGCCCGCGGCCTGTGATGGACAAGGGAACATGTAATCATAGACCGCATGACTACACATAGTACAGGCAGATTACTGTAATATCGCTCGTGAACTGCTCTTTCCCGTTCAAGAAGAAGAAGAATTTCACCGTCATCCAAGTACAAGGGAGTACATGTCTCCATCTCTCCCAACAAACCTCGCACTGTATGACGAGTACACGCGCCACACAAATCCCCAGCCACACAGCCAAGCTTTTGCGTGTCCAGAAAGCCAAGTTTTTGTCATGCATGCACGCACATCACATCATCCATGTCTAGTGCCAATCTTTCAACACAGCGAACGGATGACGAGTACAAAGGTCGAAGGAACAGACAGACCAACAAACAAACAAACAAACAAACAAACAAGAACGCGCCTTTGGATTGTTTGTTTCGAGTTCTCAACATGGCGCTGGGAAGCAAGGAGGACGGCTTGATGCGAGGGGGCAGGGCAGTCGTGGTAGGCTTGTGGTCATGGTTCGCAATGTTGCAATGTGATGTGTGAATGTACGTACCCAGCATGCCATGACCAGACACGCGAATCAGACGCAGACCAAATTACATTCCACAAAGTCGAGATCCCACGATACCAAGACTGGCCCAGCAGCAAACCAAACACCGCCTCCCCGTGTGGCTTGTGTACAAACCCCACGGCCGTCACAGAAACATGCCCACACAACCAACGGCCGTCAGCAGCTTTGGGCGGACTCACTCCGGCCCATGGCCACCCACCAGCAGAGTTCGGACTTGCCCTCCCAACAAGGCTAGGCAAGGGTCCAGCCCATCTACCGCCTCTGCCTGCGCCCGGACTGAGGACGAGGCCAAAGGAAAAAGGGGGGATAAAGCGCTCAGCCCGGTTTTGGGGACGAGCCTGCTTCCTCTACCTGTTCAACGTCTTTGTACCCGGTGCCTGACCTCTACTCCACCCTACACACCCACACCCACACATCAACACGCGCACACCACGAACCTCGCGTCCCAGTCTCAACACCACCATCCAACCAACCAATCTCCCAGAAGAATGAATAACAACGGACAGGCGGCCGGGGGAGCAGCGGGCAAGGAGGATTACCTGGACAAGGCGTTTAATGCTGTACGTTTCTCTCTTTCCTCTCTCTTCTCTCTTCTCTCTTCTCTCTCCCCTCTCCCCTCTCCTCTCCCCTCTCCCCTCCCCTCTCCTCTCTCTCCCCTCCCCTCCCCCCTCTCCCCATCACTCCCCCACTCCCCTTGGTCAATCCAACCCAACCCACTTCTAACAATCCACCAGGGCGCCAAGAAATTCGGCGGCGCTCAGGGCCAGAAGATCAGCCAGAACCGCGCAATGAGCGAGAAGATTACAGATGGCATGCGCAAGGCGTATGAAAAGTTTACCGGCAAGAAGGTGAATTCAAAGTTTTCAAACTAGGAGGAAGGCGGTTTTTGATGATGATGATGGATGCGTGGGTGGGTGGGCAAGTAATGGCTGGATGGATGGATGGACGATTGGCAAAGAGAGTATACTATGGTGATGATATGATACCCCCTTTGAAACATACACACACACACACACAAGAAGATACTCATTGGCTTGCAATTGCATCAAGTAACACTCCATCACCACATCACTTGTAAATTCACATTTGTTTCCATGATCCCCCTACCCAGCCAGTTCCACCCTCCGTCTCAACAACGCCCTCGCCTCCGTCTCCGTCAACAAGTCCAAGCCCAAGTCCTCCAGCACCCCCCTCGCACTCTGATTATCCGCAAACAGCCTCCGTTCCACCTCCCACAACCCCAACTCCTCCACAGCAACACCAGCCTCCCCAGACGACAAGCCCAACGCCTGGGCTTCACCAGAAACAGCAGGCGTTGCTTCTTGCATCGAACTGGCCTGTCCGTCATCTCCTTGATCCGCATCCCAGGCATCCCACCCGTCTGCTTCCTCGGCGTCTCCGCCATTATTCTTACCGTCATCATCATCATCATCAAGCGCCTCCCCACTCGCGGCGTGATTAGACGCTTTACCACCCTTGACAGGTGCACCAATCAACGTAGCACCCTCGATGCATTTCCGCAGTCCTGCTTCGGCCACACCAGGGCCAAGCACCTTGTCCACCACATGACATATGGCGTTGATATCGGCCGTCAGCTGTGCGGCGCCACCCGTCGAAAACCGATACCGGGTCAACACATTGTCCCAAAGCGTCGAGGAGATGGTGGACAAGACCGCACGCGTGATGCGGCGCAGTGGTGCCGACGCCAGGGCACGGGAGAGAAAGGAGAGCGTGCTGGAGAGGTAGGTGAGTAAGGGGTCGATCTCGGCTGTGGGAGACAATGAAGCAGGTGTAGCAGCCGCGGTGTGGGTCAGCGTAGCCCACGGGTTACTGTTGCACAAAGTCAGTCCCAGGTCAGCTTGTCATCACCACCGCAATGGGGAGTCTCGTGCATATCAGAGACAGCGTACATGTGTCTATAGGGGCGCAACGCCTCCCTCGCATTGCTACCCATTGTGTCGATGATGATTTTCTCGCTTCGCTCACGAAGCCGCGCGTACCACGATGCCGTTTCGTCAAACAGCGAACCACCGTCGGCATCGCTGTCTACACTCTTCGACGTGCGTTCGGCAACGTCAGCCACACTCATGGTGCCGATGTTGTGGGCGGCACGAGCACGATCTTGGAGACCTTCCCATATATCGAGGAAGAACTATGGACGGGGTGTGTCAGCCCACGTTACACAACATAGCATGCAGAATCCACATTGGGCACAAATAGGGGGGGCCTTGTCATCGAAAGCGACTTACCACATCGTCAGACCAGTCCCGCATCGCCCGTTCCAAATAGTCTGCGCTGCCATACGTCTTGCAAAGGCGTTCCAGTCCCTCTATACCGAGGAGCTTCGACTGTTCTTCCTTGGTCACACCACCCATGGCGCGGCCCAGCGAAGTGGTCATGGAGAGGTAGGCTTCTAGATTTCCCAGAAGCCGTTCATGTAGTTTGTCAAAAATGGCAATCTGAATGTCAATCAAGAAGGTGAGCTTCTGGCTGAATGAGGTGAGGGGTCTGTATCGATCTGAATAGTGCATGCGAGTCAGTTCACCTGTGATCGCTAGCAGGATGTTGTATGAATGGGGAAGAAAAGAATGGCGCACCTGTGATTGTCTCGAGGAGGTCATTGACGCGGATCGCTCCCTTGGTGGGCTTGGTGGACTTGGGATCGACACTTTCGTAGTCGAGGTCACCGAAATCGGGAGCCTCGACAATATTCTGATAGCGTGACAGGGCAACTAAAGTTTGCTTATTAGCTTCGCCCGATCATGTCTCCTTTGGGTAGTCCGCGGAGGTGGAACTCACAGTCCTTTTCGACCTGCAGCCAGCGGCCAAACCAATCACCCTGCACAAGAAACTCCCACGACAGCCCCTTCCATCCGTCCACTCCGTAGCCGCCGTCGTAGCCCCAGGTGTCGCGAATGGTCGTGTCAAAGCTCATGATCTCGTGCATCAGGTGGCTGAGTAGCTGGGGTTGGCCTGCCACCTTGGGAAGTAGTGAGCCGATCTTGGTCCTCAGCATTGGCAACAGGGCGGTAATGAACGCAGACATGGCATCCATGTAAACCGGGTTCATGGCCAGAGGTGTGCCACGAAATTGCCGGAGTAGGACAGGCTGAAGATGGTCGCCGACGAATCCGCTGTAGTCATCCAAAAGCGTGGTAACGTGGGAGAGAAAGTATTCTGGCCTGTCGATGCGATTGGTAGCCTTGTCGCCATCAAAGTGGTAGCGGAAGCGCATTTCCAGCGGCTCTACCAGGACTTGCAGGGGGTACAGCACGGGCGGCAGCTTGACCTTGTCGGCTGGCCCGCTGGCATAGCTCAGGCCTTGTAGGTCAGGCATCTGCAAGTCCAGCAGTTTCACCACGGCCGTCTCCCACTCGTCGCGCAGTTGGACGGGTATGTTTGCTTTGGGCGTAGGCCAGCGAATCTTCTTGAGGACGTGCTCGAGAGGTGCGGAGAAGGCCTTGAGAAACTGGCTGCGCAGGGCCTGGGTGATGTTGCCGACGTGATGGAGCAGCTGGGGAGCGGCCCCTTCTGCCTCGATCTGCAGGGCCATGAGGCGGGTATGGAGGGAGCGCAGCTGGATGTACGGCTGCAGGGCGGCTTCACTGGACGTCTGGAGCAGCGACTGGGCTTGTTTGCTGGCGCCATGGTCAGTGTGGGCGGAGTACTGGGTAGATGGGTATGGGCGCTGAATTGGGGTGTGTGGGCGGAGTACTGGGTAGATGGGTATGGGCGGTGAAATGGGTGGTGTGGGCCGAGGGGCTGTCCTACCTCAGCACGTCGACGTCGGCCAACAGCTCGAGGTATCCATGGGCGACGTCCAGGCGGTGCAGGGTGTCGAGCACGGCTTGGAAGCGGGGGACCGCCTCGTCGCTCGTCTCCGAGGCAGTCATGACCATGAGGCGGCGGTCCATGTCGGCCTGATGGTGGCGAAAGGCTTCGGCGCGCTGCTGGAGGTGGGCGTGGTGGTCATGGGCAGCCTGTTTGGCATCGTGGAGGTCGCGCTGGCCCTCTTGGAGCTGGGCCTTGAGTAGGCCATGCTGGGAGTGGATCTTGGCGAGCAGGTCGTCGAGCGAGTCGAGGTCGGCCGTGGTCTGTAGTTTGTCATCGAGGAAGTCGGCGACGCGGGTTTGGTTGTCATCCATTGGGTGGTGGTAGTGGTAGTGGTTGTGATTGTAGATGTAGGATTGGTGTTGATGATGTTCGTTCGTGTTTGCCAATGACATGTGCGCCCTCACTCTAGCGTGTGCAATGACTAAGTGTAGAGTAAGAGTGCTAGGCTGGGTGGGGTTGCTTGGAGAACCTGTTCGAGGGAGTCTAGACTCGATTAGGGTGCAGGTTACCTGGAGATGTGTGCCTAGTCCCTACTCTACTTGCCTACTCTATTCACTTGTATACGTAGTGGCAGGTCGTCCCACGCTCATACACGGTGCTTGTTTGTTGCCAGAGAAGAGAATGTCGGAAATGTCTCGCCAAGCAAGGGGCGGCAGGCCCCATGCATAGTACATCAGAGTACACAGAAAAGAGGTACCGGTACTACTTGTACAACGACTCCCAAATAGAGTACTTGGAGTACTTTATACCCAAGAGTACAAATGCAATCAACACGTTGTGTGGCGTCCGATCTGCGAGCCGATCGATCTTGCCATCGAGGTACATGGAGATCCGTGCGTCCCTTGCCTCAGCCGCTTAGCAAAGGGCGCGCCGCCGTTCTTTTGCCCCATCAGACCACTTTTGCTTGCCAACGGGCTCAGTGCTCACACCTTGCACAGCCAACAAGGAAGAGAAGGAAAAAAAAATAATCACTGCGTTTCCTGTTCCTGGTACTCCTACCTCCTACTCCTACTCCTATCCACGTTCAGTAAATGCACGCCCAGCCCTAGCTCCGAACAGCGCCCGTCTTGAATGCTACCTATTGTATATATCTCTTGTGCTTTCCTGCTTGTGCTTGTCCTGTGATCTTCCAACACAAATCCCTTTCCCCCCAACCCTCCCCACCCGCTGCCGCCAGTTTAGCCGAGCTTGTCCAAACTTTTTTTTTTTGTCAGCCATCTCGTCTGTCGTCGTCAGCCGCCGACAGCCGCGCCCGCCGCCCGACAAATGCCCAAGGAACACAAGAAGCGCGGCCGCCGCGACGAGCAGAAGAAGCGCAAGCGGGACGCCGACGACGATGCCACGGCCAAGCGGCACAAGAAAGACGATGTCGATGCCCAATTCCAGCCACTCGATGCTGCTCACCAGCTGCATCATGGCGGCGTCGGCGAGGACGGGGAGCTGACCCGCCCGGGCGAGGTGCAGTTCTATGGCATGCTCGACGAGGACGAGCAGGAATTCTTCAAGAACGTCGACGACCAGCTCGACCGCAACGAGTTTGCCTCGCCCGACGAGCGCGCCCAGTGGCTGAAGAATGTCTTCAAGGAAGCAGAGGGCAAGGAACTCAAGATTGCAAACAGCCAGTCCTGCTCGCGCGTGCTGGAACGCTTGATCCTCCTCTCGACCCCAGGCCAGCTGAAGAACATCTTTGAGAAATTCAATGGCCAGTACGTGCATGCATGCATGCTCTTGCATCCTTCTCTTCTGTTGTATGCGCTAACCTAACCACCTACCCGCCCTCAGCTTCCTCAACCTCGTCCAGCATCGCTTCGCCTCGCACTGCTGCGAAGCGCTCTTCCTACAAGCTGCACCCGTCGTCACCCAAGAACTTGCAAACCCAGAGCGCTTGCAAACCCCGCCATCGTCGAATCCCGACCACATCTTCGTCTCCATGGAGAACCTCTTCCTCTTCACCCTCGCTGAGCTCCAGGAACATCTCGGCTTCCTCATGACGGACCGCTTCGCTTCACACGTGCTGCGTGTGCTGCTCGTCGTCCTTTCGGGCAGCCCACTGGAAAGGCAGTCCAAGTCTGTGCTACAGAGCAAAAGAAAAGAAAAGGTCGACGTCACTGGCGCCGAAAAGGGACGAGAATGGCTAGCCGAAAAGAGGGCTGTGCCGCAGTCTTTTCTAGAAGCTTTGGAAAAGGTCATCAACAACTGCGTTTCTGGAATGGAGCCGCATTACCTCCGCTCGCTCGCCACACACCCATTGGGCAACCCGACGCTGCAGCTGCTCCTCAAGTTGGAGTTGTCGCACTTTGGGAAATCTCGTGCCAAGGATGAAAAGTCACTCATTCATAGACTGTTGCCTGATGACCCCATTGCCGAAGGAACCGACAGCGCGGCTTTTATCAATGGCCTTGTCTACGATCCCATCGGCTCGCGCCTTCTAGAAACCATTATCGAAAATGCCCCTGGCAAGCTCTTCAAGGCCATCTATGGTGAATTCTTCAAGGAGCGAATGGGGAGCCTTTCTCGTAACGAGATCGCGGGATACGTGGCGGGGAAGATCCTGGAGCGGCTCGGCAAGGATGACTTGGAAGAAGCAATGCGCCAAATCGTGGATCAGATCCCCAGTCTGGTGGAGCGGAACCGAACCGCCATCATCAAGACACTTATTGAGAGATGTGTAGCACGCGGGGTCGACACTGCATCCATCAAAGCGCAATTGGAGACTGCCTACGGCGGATCCAACGGCTTCGAGGTCATACGTATCCTCAAGCTGAGCGAAGAAGACGGGAAGCCGGGCGGGGAGCACAAGCAACAGTCACCAGAAAAGCTGCATGGGTCGCTTTTGGCACAGACGATGATGTCGGTCGAAGGTCCTCTGGGAAATCTGGTCTTCGACTCCCTGGCCAACCTGTCACCAGAGCTGTCTGTACAACTTGCCCGTGATCCCCCAGCATCAAGGACATTGCAAGCAGCATTGACTTCGCCAAATGCCTCGGTGATCTTTCGTCGCAAAATGATCCAGCAGTTTTACGGAAAAGTCGGTGAATTAGCGCTCGATCCCTCTGCATCCCGCGTCATCGATGCGATATGGAATGGCACCGCGGGTCTGGCATTTATCCGCGAGCGCATTGCCGAAGAGCTTGCAGAAAACGAAGGATCACTGCGGGAATCCTACGTCGGCCGTGCCGTATGGCGCAACTGGCGAATGGATCTGTACAAGCGAAAGCGCAACGACTGGGTCAAGCAGTCTCGCTACACTGCTGGCAACGACGGGTTCCAGAGCTTCCCCGAAAGTGATGGGGATGCTTCGAATTCACAGACCCGAGCAGGAAAGCACATGACGGCCATTGAGCTGGCACGACAAAAACACGCGGCGGCGAAAGCAGCTGCCCAAGGCAAAAAGGACATGAAGAAGGAGAAGACAGAACGCCACGGGACTGGAAGTAATTCCAGTGCCGTTGGTACCAAAGGCCGCGTAGTGGCGCAATAATGGCAGCGTCTTGCGCTGTCTTCACCCCCACCCCCATTTCCTTTTTGAGTGTAACCTTTCTTTTCCCCCCGAAATTTGGCATGGGCATGGCAAAAGGCGTTCTGGGCCGGATCTATGAGGCTTAGCAAGAACATCTGTGTTGGGGTTCCGCCGTGGCAAATTTCTGATTCGTCGATATGTTAGATACCTTATTTAGTGCCGCTTGTTTTTCTCCGTGGGCATGAGAAGTTTTGCACCTGGATTTCGGATTGTTAGGGCCATGGACCGGGCAAGGGTTCTATGCATGACCCTTACTAAAGTTGTCGAGCGCGGATCTTCAAACACAACCTAGCAATACATACACTTTTGGTCCCTTCTTTCTCTGTTCCTCACCTCCACACTCACGCCATTGACAGCTCGTCGTAGACTTTTCCTAGCTGCGTCGTACCACTGAACGACACTTGTAACCGCCATGTCAGCCCCGACAGAAGAGCCAGTCAACCGCGCCGACGAGGTCCAGGATGTGAGTGCCCATCCCACGTGGGGATCTCACGAACCGAGGACGATCACAGCCACTTGTGTGCCCTGCCACACCCCCTTCTCAGCCCTATCATCTCTTGTCACGTGGTACTCTCTACACCCTTTGCGATGACATGATGATTCCCAACCCCGTCCAGCCCACTCACTGATGCACTCCTAGCTCCTCGATTCCGTGCAATCCCTCCTCATCCCTTTCATTGCTTCTGCCGATGCCGACGCCGCCACCAAGCACACTGGCCACGGCTTGCAAGTCCCTGGCGGCGGACCGAGGACTGTGCTTGTCGAGCACCATCCGCCGAAGAAGCTTGAATCACTGCTCAAGGATGAGCTCAGTATTGCCGAAGAGGGTACAGGCAAGGACGGCCTCATGCATGTGTTGGAGAAGGTTCTCCAGTATAGTGTGAATACGTGGGATCAGGGCTTCCTGGACAAATTGTATGCCAGTACGAATGCGGTGGGCGTTGTGAGTGAGTTGGTGTTGGCCGTGTTGAATACCAATGTGAGGTTTTTTTCCTTTTTTTTCCCCTTGCCACTGCTATTGATCTTGTTTTCTCATCAGACTCTCTTGACATATCGAATCTCGCTTTTCTGCTTTCATTCAACACCCGTTGTCCCCCGAGTACATCAACAAGCATGTAGGTACAGCCCACTGACCAGTTCCAACAGGTACACGTCTACCAAGTCTCCCCAGCCCTCACCCTGATTGAAAAACACACGACCAAGTACCTGGCCACGCTCTTTGGCCTCCCCGCCTCCACCAGTGGCGGCATCTCCCAACCCGGCGGCTCAGCAGCAAACGGCACCGCCATTGTCGTCGCCCGCAACACCCTCTACCCAGACACCAAGACCCAAGGCAACGGCAGCCACAAGTTCACAATCTTCACCTCCGCCCACGGCCACTACTCTGTCGAAAAAGCAGCCAACCTCTTCGGACTCGGCAGCCAAAACGTCCTCTCCGTCCCCGTCGACCCCCTGGGCCAAATGATTCCCGCCGAACTCGACCGCGCCATCCTCGCCTCCAAGGCCCGCGGCGAAACCCCCTTGTTCGTCAACGCAACGGCGGGCACCACCGTCCACGGCTCCTTTGACCCGTTTGCACAGCTCGCGCCTATTTGCCGCGCACACGGCCTCTGGTTCCATATCGATGGCTCCTGGGGCGGCTCCGTCATCTTCTCCCACCAACACGCTGCCACGCGACTCGCGGGCGCACACCTCGCAGATAGCATCACAATCAATCCGCACAAGATGCTCGGCGTACCCGTCACCTGTTCCTTTTTGCTCGGCCGCGACATGCGTGCCTTTCACTCCGCCCTCACCTTACCCGCCAGCTACCTCTTCCACAACACCGCCTCCTCCGATCCCGACACCGACACCGACACCACCACAAACCCGGATGAAATCTTCGACCTCGCAGACCTAACCCCCCAATGCGGCCGCCGCGCCGACTCCCTCAAACTCTTCCTCGCCCTCAAATACCACGGCCCAGCCTACTTCTCCGCCCACATCACCCGCGCCTACCAAACCGCAACCCACCTCCTCGCCCTCCTGACCGCGCACCCAGACTTTGTCGCGCTTTCGCCGGACCCGCTGCCCTGTCTGCAGGTCTGTTTTTACTATGCAAGGGCGGGGGTGTTGAGTCCCGATGCGGAGGTGAATAGTCGGGCTACAGAGGGGATTGTGGCGAGGTTGGGGAGGAGGGGGTTCATGGTTGATTTTGCAGAGGGCGAGCGGGGCAAGTTTTTCCGCGTCGTGGTTAATGGCGGGACGGGGAGGGGGACGGTCGAGGGCTTGGTCAAGGCGGTGGGGGAGTGTGCGGGCGAGTTGGGCTTTTGACATTTCAAGACGTGAGTCTGGGGGAAGTTGATTTACTAGTACAAGTGTATACAGGTTAACAAGGTAAGAAAATAGATGGGGAAGCACTGTACCTGATTTTAGACTTTTCACTTCCCTTACTTGGGTATACACAAAAGGCTTCACAAAATGGAATCAATCATGCTTCTCATGCTTCTTCATTTGAAATGGAGTATCCATATCATACTACGTAGATGAAAACAGGTTCCTCTCATAGCCATAATCCCCCATATAACACATGATGAGGCAGAAATGGCTTTACACTCCATGCAGACGTAGCATCCGTCCAGGAGTGCGCACAATAAACCATGTGTGGACAACAAGAGATAGAACAGAATCATAACAGACTTGCCATTGCAAACCATCCATCTCACATGGCCAATCTGCTGTTCATGGCCGACGTTCTAGCGTATTCTCCTTACTGAATAACACCCCAGAACCTCTCGGCATTGAACGTCGCGGCCCAGTCAGACTTCCATTCCGAGTCAAACGCACTGAAGATGAACATATCGCTATCAAAGTTCGCGCGGATAGAGTCAAGGGCCATGCGCTGATTGTCCGGCGACGGCACAGCAGCACCATTGGCATCGCCCTGGTGCGGCCACCCAGACTCGGCGACAACAACGCGATCGGTGTTGCAGGCCGACTTGACACGTTCAACCTGTGCCTTGACAAATGTGCCGGCATCCTGGGCCTTGGTGTTGGTGTCGAAGAAGCCGTGGCAGTTGACCATGACCACGTCAGAGGCTTTGCAGATGGCTGGGTTGTCCATCATGGCTGGAACGGTTTCGACCGCACCGACAGGACCTTGGTACCCGAGTTCACGGAGTTGGCCTCGCGCCGTGTTGATGGCGTCGATGACAGCGGACGCAGTCATGTCGTGGTCGTTGACGCGCTCATTCTCTACAGCGAAGAGCTGGACAATGTCCCACTTACCATCGGCGTACGAATCAATTGCGCCCTTGAGGGTCTTGATGACGGTGCCGAGATCTTCGCCGTTGCCACCAGTGCTCATGTAAGCGCCTGCCATGAGCGTCTGGCCGTTCTTGATGGCATTCTTCACAGCAAGGGGAATGATGTTGCAGCCCATGCCGTAGATGCGGACAACTTTATAGTCCTTCATCCTGGCAAAGTCGCTGGCAATCTCATCCGCCGTCTTGCAGCGAGTAGAACCCTTGGACCCGGCAAAGGGATCGTAGGCGATTCCGATGGGAAGACGACCGTCAGCTGCATCCTGTTTGGTGGGCACTTCTGGAGCAGGCGCGGCGGAGGATGAAGGTGGAGGAGCGGCGCTCGAGGTTGGGGGCAGAGGCTCCTGGATAGAAGGGGATAGTACATAAGTAGATTCGACCGCAGTAGAGGATGCGGCTGCCTCCGTTGTAGCTTTGTCCACGTCGGCAATAGTTGGCTCAGGTGACGAAGTAGCAACATCAGATGACGGCAGTGCAGTTGTAGGAGCTGGAACGGTCGTTCGAGGCGCCAAAGAGAACTCAACCGTAGGCTCAATTACTCCAGACGTGGTAGAAGGTACCAACGCTGCACTGCTGGTAGTCGCCTGAACCGTTGATGTCGTGTAGGGCGCACCGCTCTCATCGACGTAAACAACAGCATCAGTGATGGTCTGAGTGACGTAGACAACCTCGGTGATAAGTGCACGCCTGAACTCTGTGGGTTTGTTAATAAGCTCCCCTGTGCCTCACGGTAACCTGGCACCACATACTCAGAGGACGTCCACTCGCCGTGCCCAAAAGGCAACTTGCCGCTGCCAGAGCGCTCGCCAAAACGATGGACTTCATGGTGAGGATGAAGCGAATGTTATGGAATGCTTGAGGAGAAACTGCAACGTAAATTTGCTAGAGTAATCGAAGAAAGGTAACTGAGTGCTTGGCTGGAATGCAGTGGTGGTGGTGGTGCAGCGCAGGTGTATTTGCGGGGGAGCAAAAATAAGGAGTGACTGCCGCCTGCAGCTGGTGAAGAAGAAGAAGAAGAAGGACAAGGAGAATCGGGCTTGCCGAGGGCGTGAAGTGAACGAGAGGGATGTGTAGAGAGCGTGGCAGGGTGTATGAGGGGGAAGAGTAGGTGCGAGCAAGGGAGTATCACGACGTCCCTGGGTAGGGTAGTCTGACTCCTGCCTGTTGTGACACACGTGCCTGGCGTGCCTGCCTGTCGGGGAAATTGGGCTGTGCGCTAGCCCCGCCAGCGTTTGCCTTGTGCGATTGTGAGGAAGTTGGATCCAAGCCTATCGTCGTTCGAGACATGGAGGTGAAGTCGGGCAGTGATGTGTGTCCCGCGGAGTCCATCGCGGGTGAAACGCAAAGGCGCAAGTAATTCGAGGACCTGGGAACTGAAACACCAACTCGCCGCGGGCAAACGGTATCGTGAAGGAAGACTGGCACGGTAAAGTGTGTTTGCGTCCCTTGTGACCAAGGCAATTTCACAGCTGGGTAGACAATCGGTAGTGGAGAAACACTGTGCCCTGAATGAAGCAAGCCGCCAGTCTCAACAAACACGGTGTGTCAGGCGAATCTCCTGGCGATGGAGGACAATCAAACTCGAAATGGAATACCTACCAATAGTAATGAAGAACTCGCGCGTGATGTGTTGGGTAACGACCAAAGGTACTGTTGCTGGCAAAGCACAGGCAGTCTAACACCCTGTTCCATTGGATATATCTCCTTTAGCTTGAACACTTGCCCTACGCATTGGCTACGCGAAGTCGAATGAACATGTTGAGTGAGGAGTCGAAGTGATTCTGTGAAATGAGCGTGCTTCTAGGGCCCTGGCTATGCTGGTTTGGACAGGAAGACAGGAAGACAGAAAGGGAAGAGCTTGACGTGGCACCTAGTAGAAAAGTGAACTGAAACGAGGAGAAATATTGTCAATGGATTGGTTCTGGGGAAGAGAAGAAATGACCATGGAAGCATCTTGTGGCTTGATGTCCAAATGTTTGCGTGTATATGTCGCTACTAGACCTGCAAGGAGACCAACTCGTTGCCTTGATTCGGATACGTAGAGGAGGCACATTCTTGCAGTGAAGCGTCAGAGACTAGGTAGGTACCTGGGAAGATGAAGTAAACATGACAGACAAGACAAAGACGGGTCCCAAGGCGTGAGTGGGTCCTTGAACTCGTTTCTCTTCCATTTCGCTATCCATGAAGAGGAGAAGTGGGTGAAGGGACAGCCAACGACCAAAGTTTGTCTGCGAAGCTTTGGCGAAAAGGACTCTGGGGGGTCAGACAGTCCATCCGTCTTATGGGCACGTGACCCACAATTGTAACCATGAACCTGTCCAGCTAAGGTATGCCACCGGCCGAGGGAACGCTATCCCCTCGAAGCCCGAACGCGGGGCACTTTTCACTCCTCGCTCACACTTCAAAACATCACCGCGTCTCCTTGCCTATGCGCTTTGTTTGGCATTGCCAGCCGTACGTAGGAATGTCCCAACATCTTCCAATGCTCTACTCCTGTTCATTTCGTTCTAAACATCTTCTATTAATGCTGCTAGACAGCTACGCAGAAACATCTCAAGCACGTTGCAGGCTGTGTTCTAGCACACTGTACGCACACACACACACACACACACACATCCAGCATCTAAAACCAAAAAAAAGGGTCAATGCACGGCCAGCCACGCACACAATCCACAGGCGACACAATACAGCCCGTGCGCGCACTTAGCGACCCGCACCTCTGCCCCCGCCCTCGCACACATCGAAAGTGATTTCACCCAACTATATAATACAAATAACCGACAATTCTCAATTGTGCAGTGCGAGGATTTGTACGAACTCATTTCTTGCCTTTTACCAGAAGTGACCGCGAGTCCCGCACAAAACTGCACTTAACAAATCTTTGGAATCAATCATCACCTATTCGTGGGTTCGAATCTTTCTTTTTGCCCTTTTTTCCATTCTTTTTGCCCAGGTCCTTCTTGATTAGACGAGGTAAAGACTAGTACGACGACGACAAAGACAGCATGTAGGTATCAATGTAACATAGAGTTTGTTTGCTAGAACAGAATAAAAATCATTCTTGATTGTCACCTATCCTTTGACAAATCCCATCGTGCACGACAACAAGACTAGCTACCAGGATATCCATTCCAACTAACACTTCATCCTAATCCCCCTCCTCTTCTCATTCTCCCTCCACTCAAACATAAACTGCACCCCGGTAAACAAAGCCACACATGCCGTCGCCAAAAAGCTCCACCCACTATACGTCCCAAAGATACCCGCAACCAACTCCTTCAAGCCATCGACGCCCAGTGAGAAGCCCACCAGATTGGCCGCCATGAGCATCAAAATCTCGCCCACGGCACCCACGCCACAAAGCCAACGATACGCATCCGGGTTATCCTTCCACTTCTTCTCGGGAAACATGGCGCTGGCGATAATCTCCGGCAGCACGAAGAGTGTCACCAGCCAGCCCCACATCAACAGTCGGAGCTGGATGTCATGCCAAATCGCAATAAACGTAAACACCATGAGGTAATTCACCACTTGCCGCGCTTTGCCCCACAGCCCGGGCGCCCTGCTGCCGCCCAGCGGGATGTAAAGGTAGCGCAGAACCCACTTGTTGAAGCTGCGATGCCAGCCGCGCCAAAACTGCGTGACGCTGTAATTATCGCTCATGCAGCGGACCATGTTCTCCGGTGCATCGATGCCGTCGAGGAGGGCCCAGAGGCGGAAAAAGCGCCAGGGTATCAGGAGTTTGAGCCAGATGTGCTTGAGGTTGAAGAAGCCGAGCATGCTGAGCTGGGCGGGGGTGTAGGCGCTCCAGCTGGGTTTTGCGTGGAAGATGGCGACCATGTAGAGGTAGTGGATCATTACTTCCATGGTCAGCAGCACAACGGCAAACCGGAGGGCGTACATGAGTATGCGCTTGGTGGTGATGCTGTGGGTGCGGTAGCGGCATTGCGAAATATAGTCATTGAAGGTGAGAATAGGGCCCGCGAGGTAGAGGGGCGAGTACATTGCGTAGGCAAAGTAGTTGCGGAAGGAGAAGTCGCTGGGTTTTGCAGGGATGGTGACGCGGTCGCGTTCTGACAGGTTGGAGGGATCAAGTTGTTTCTTCTTGATGTCGTTAGTGAGATATCAAGGGGAAGGATCGAGAATGGTATAACACACTTCCAAGGGGCTGCTGCTATTCTGAGAGCTGAGAGACCAATAGTAGTCAAGGTTGTAGCTTATGAGGCGTAAAATGGTGAAGTTGAAGAGGACTTCCCAACGAGGAATTAGCCCACCGTAGCTGTCGAGTGTGTGGCCAATGTTGTAGGCTTCTTGGCCTTTCTCTGATGCCACAGATGGAAGAAAAGTACCAATGATACTAGCGTACGAGTAGCCTCTGGAGAATTCATTCGCAAACAGAGTACCGACGTTGAAGATCCAAGTGGCGGCGGGCACATAGGACCGGGGAATCTTCTTTGCAATGCAGTAATTTGCATACAGAATGGCAGCAATCTTGAAGGCCGAAAAGCCATGCAAGGCAACGAGGAAAATTGCAGCGAAGATAAGGTCAAACGAGATGCGTTGATCGAGGCGGGCATCTGCAGCAGCTGCAGGAGTCAAGCCCATGGTCAGACCACCCTTTCCAGCCGAGGGACCAACTTGAGTGTAGGTTCCTGCTCTCCAGAATGAATCGTAAGCCTTGCGAAGAAGAGGGTGTAGCATTACTACGAGGAAAAGATAGGGTATGTTCTGCCGGAAGCCAGCATACTGCGCGTCGACATTGTCCTGAGAAGTCAGTCACCAACATGTGACATAGGCAAAGGCAACATACCACTTTGCGCCCTGGTATCCAGCCGTCTGAGAGCAGGTGTGAGAAGTTTTTGTAGCTTGCATGTGACTCTAAGTGCAAGTTAAAAGGTGCTCGCTCTGGTTAATAGTGTTTGGTACAATACATACCTACAGATGAATCATGCACAAGCTTGATCATAAAGTAAATACTCGCAGAGATGGACACGTAGTAGAAGTAAAACTCCAATGTGCGCCATCGAGGCGGATGAACATGTTCGCCTGGACTTGGGCTTTTTCCTTTGGCAGATTCTACAGGCAATGGCCGGACTGGGTCGAGTTTCGCTTCCTCGAGAGCCTCCCTCGGGGGTGTCGTCGCTGGCACGATGAAGCGGGTATCGAGGGTGTCCAGCGAGTACAGTTGGCGGATAAATCGGAGTGCCATGATGATTCCTAAACTATCTCTTCATCATCTGTCCACTATCCCTTTCTTATCCCCGTGGGAGTGTACAGAAACGTGTGCGGGAAGTGGGCGGGTGTGGTGACAGGTGGTGATGATGGTGGAGGTGAGCTCCGCAACTTCAACTGACTGGTCCAGTTCGCGTCTTTGCGACAGCTTCCCTTGAACAACCCACGCCTCGGCCCTACGAACCCACGAACCCACGCTCACACAACCCCGCGCAGATCTGATCACGCGTCAATTGCTGCCGGGAACTTACACCACACACGCAACTCGACCGTATCTTCGCGCAAGCGATAGTTGCGAGCAAAATGAGCATTCCAAACTCGACGACCGCGCCTGCTGCGGGCGAGTACGCTGGAGGTAGCTATCTATGTGTTCTATGGAGATTCACTGTGCCCATGTACTGATCCTCGGCTCTAGATGAAGTCTCCGCGATTGTCCTCGACCCCGGCTACTCGACCGTACGCGCTGGCTTCGCCGGTGAAGATGTGCCCAAGTCCGTTTGTCCGTCCTTTTACGGCGAAAAAGACGGCTCCTACCATTTTGGCGAGAACGCGATACATGCGCCCACGGGCGGGCACGAGATCAAAAACTACTGGGGCAGCGATGGCATCGTCCAAGACTGGGACATTGCAACGAAGCTGTGGGAGTATGCCATCACCAGCAGGCTCACGGGCGCAAAGCCCGGCGACCCGTCAAGAAACGGGCTAAACGATGGGACGTCAAACGGCGAGGCTACAGACGTGGACATGGAAGGCGTAGAGAACAACGAGAAGCCACTGGAAGACAGCCCGCTGCTCGTCACAGAACCCGGGTGGAACAGCGCAAAGGCACGGGAAAAGTACATTGAAATCGCCATGGAAGACTGGGGCGCACCCGCTTTCTTCCTGCAAAAAACGGGCGTGCTGGCTGCTTTTGCCTCTGGCAAGTCCTCGGGCATCATCATCGACGTGGGCGCCTCGCACACGTCCGTCACGCCTGTCCTCGACGGCATGGTGCTCCGCAAGGGCGTCATGAAGTCCCCCTTGGCCGGCAACTTTGTGTCGTCGCAAATCCGCCAAATCTTCAAGCAAGCCACGCCCGAAATCCCCTTGGTACCACACTACATGGTTGCCTCCAAGACGCCCGTCGACGCCGGCGCGCCCGCCCAAGCGACGTACAAGACCTTTGACATTCCCCCGACCGCCTCCTTCCGCCTCAACGAAGAGGAGCGCATCCTCACGGAGTTCAAAGAATCCGTCGTCGAAGTCTGGCCCGGCCCCGGCCGCTTCAGCAACGGGACCAACGAGGAAATCGCAAAAAACACGCCCGGCCGACCGTTTGAAATGCCGTCTGGGTGGAACCAAGTCTTCACCTCTGAACGCTTCCGCGCCGCTGAACCGCTCTTCGACGCCAGCGCCGCCCTCCCCGTCGACGGCATGCCGAAGCCAAAGGACGAACAGACGATTCCCAAGCTCGTGCAAGCCGCCGTCGCCCAGGTCGATGCGGATCAGCGGCCCATGCTGCTGTCCAACATTGTGGTCACGGGTGGATCCACTCTGCTGTACAAATTCAACGACCGCCTGAATTACGAAATCAATGCGCAGTATCCCAGTACGCGGAATAAACTGATTGCGCCGGGGAGTGTGGTGGAGCGCAAGTATGCGGCGTGGATTGGGGGCAGTATTTTGGCGAGCTTGGGCAGCTTTCATCAGCTGTGGATTTCGAGGAAGGAGTACGAGGAGCATGGGGCGGGCATTGTGGAGAAGAGGTGTCGGTAGGTTTGGGCGGGAATGCCAGGAGCAGGAGTAGGACAAGAGGAGAGCGGGGATTTTCTGTCTGCTCCTTCTTCTCCTCTAAGAGATATTGTACGGATCAGGGCAGATGGCGTTCATGGGAGTGAGTGGGGGAAAACCAAAACCGTGCAAGTGATGTGAGGCTGTCTGGAAACCAGTATTAATGCAATGTAGCCCATAGTCCCATATGTTTACAACAAAAAAAGTTTCAAATGTCATCATCGTAATCGTATTGCCCTTTCTATGTGGCCTGGCTAGGTACCTTTTTTGCACCTTCATGTGTTGGACTATGGCCACTTTCTTCCGTGTTCATAAAGCCATGTAAGTACACTCTCCTTGCTCTACTCGTCATTGATTACTCTATGAGTCTACATCCATCGTCTCTGCAGTGGCTGTAACATCGTCGTCCTTGAGCTCGTGTACAGTTACGTACTTGCTAATCTCCTCTTTGGTGATGATCTTCTCATTCAGCACCGCCGTCGTACCCCGCGGGAAGCGGTAATTCCGCTGCTTGGGCACCCTCGTGTTGGGGGTCTTGTAGTTTCTCATCAGCGTCGTCTTCTCCTGGGTGATGACCGCCACATCGACATTGCTTCCTGAGCCCAAATCGTTCCAGATACCAGCCTCGATGGCGTTTGCGCACAGGGTAACGGCATCCTCGCGCGACATTTCGCCCTTCCACTGCGTCTCGAAGACGGACATGGCGGCCAGCGAGCCAGAGCCCATGGTCACATAGGGCAGCTTGTCGGTGGAGCCGTGGGCGTGGACGGTGAAGAGGTGGGCGCCGGTGGGGTCACAGCCAGCAACGACAAGGTAGGCGCCAATGTGGCCCTGGTGGCGGAACAGATGTTGCTTGAGCATGGTCATGCAGGTGACGACGCGGGGCTTGCGACCGGTGGAGAGGGCGTGCAGTTCAAGATTCGACGAGATGATGGCCGTGGTGAACTCGGTGTCTGCCGCGGTACCGGCACCTGCACACCAGATCTGGGGGGAGATGAAGTGTAGCTTTTCGCAGTTCTGTGCAGTGCGTGTTAGTCGGGGAGAAAGGGAATATCACTGTCCGATCGATGGAGGATGCAGTTGGAGTATGGCGGGGGGGATGGCGTACCTTGTCTGCGACTATGGGGCCGCTTGTAGCTCGGGTATCTGCTGCAATGACGACGCCGCCGTCGAAGAGACAGCCCACAATCGTTGTTCCTGTGCTGGTTGCCTTGGGCAGTGGAATACCCTGGGCGTGAAGGGCCGCATTGCGGTTGTGGTTGGAGAAGTCGAAGCCGCCCATGATGGTTTGTTGGGTAGTTGGGGCTGTCCAAGGGCGTGGTATGGATATATGAAGAGGCAGAAGCTTCCTCCTGTGGATGAGAAGGAAGAAGAAGGAGAAGCTCTGTGCTATGGCGGGCTGGTGGTCGTGGTCGTGGTTGTGATTAGGCGGCGAGTCGGCGGCTTGTGTTATACGTTCTCATATACTCTGCCGGGCCATTGGAGGAGGTTGCGTAGTAGCTGTCGTGCCTGGGAGCTCGGGCCTTGGCGACTGACTAGCTTGCAACAACTAAGCTAAACTTTGGGGAAACAACAAAAGTACGCGTTGGGGAATTTGAATGCTCCAAGTCCCGATCGCTGCTCTGTTCTGTCTGTTCTGTTCGCTGGTGTCGCATACTTTGGCCGCCGTACTGCCTGTCCCATAATTGAACCGCCCTCGGTTGCACGATTTGGCCCATCGCCGGCGACATCCATCCTCCTTCCTTCTGCTCTTTACGGTAACCGTACCGTACCGTGCCTGCATTGTACCTCGTTCCATCCGCATACCTACTCGCGCGCGCCCTAGACTCCCTCCGATGACATAGCGACACATCAAGACGCGAAAACCAGGCTGCACTGCACAAGTTCTCACCGCGCAAGAGCTTCCGCGACCCATCTGACCCTCTACCATGGCTTCTGGCAATGCGCCAACCATAGAGACTGGCCCAGAGGTGCAAGAGGTGGAGACAGAGGTACGGCCACTTCCCATGCGACACAGTCAAACATTCGTGGAGGAGCGCTAGCTAACATACAGAACAGCACTTGGGCTTCAAAGTGCTGGCACAGGGCAAGGCAGGACCCAAAAAGGTCAAGATCCTCCCACCATGGCCCGCCCATCAGCTTCCAAACACCTCCGCCACCCTCCTCTCCATATCCTCCAAGCAGGGCCTCTTAGCCGCCGCCGGCCCAGGCACCCTCATCGTCACCTCGACCGAAGGCGTGCGAAAAGCCTACCAGAACCAGACTCTCTCCGAGACCATCACAGACGCAGGTGATGCCCGACTCGAGCAGCGCGATCTCGATGTGGTCGCCGACTTTGCCGTCGACACAGGCCTGGAAGTCCCTACACTGCGCCATGTCGCCTTCTCGACCGACGGCGATTTCTTGGTCATCTCCGCCGAGGAGGGCGGGGGTCTGGCAGTGTTTGACACGGAGAAACTAAAGGCTGGAGACAAGAACCCTCGGTCTCAGATCGGTACCGACAAGACTGCGATTCGCGCCCTCCAGCCAAATCCCATGCCTGAGCTGGCCCACTACTACGCTGCCGTTCTCGAGACTGGGAGGCTGGTCATTGCCGACGTGGAGAATGGTGCGACAAACACGATCAAAGAGGACGGTGTTAGCTGCGTGGCTTGGAGCACGCGTGGAAAGGCCGTCGTTGCAGGCCTACAAGACGGTAGTGTCGCCATCCTCCTGAGCGACGGAACTCTAAAAGGCGTGGTGCCACGTCCTCCTGAGGTGGACGAGAGCTTTGCTGGTAAGCTATCGGTCAAGATGAACATGTATACAACCGGCCACTAACCAGCCATAGTCACTGGTCTATCCTGGCTGACCAACGACGAGTTCTTCATTATCCACTCGGTCAAACAGCAAGACCCGGAAGACGCCCAGGACAGCAAGTACCACTACGTCAAGAGCAACAAAGGATGGACAAGCTTCAAATTTAGGGAACTTATCTGGGATCCAGTTGCGCCATCACGAGACGGCATTCCCCGGCCACTGCCTCCTCGTTTCTCTGCTATGCGCCTACGGAACTGGCAGCCGGATCTCGAAGACATGCTCATCGTCACCAACTCACATACAGACGCCATCGTCGTCTTCGCGTCGACTAGCAAGGCCATTTCTCCTGACCAGGCCGGCTGTAACGAGCTCATGCTCGTTGGTGTCGACGACTCCAAGAAGGCTGCTGTGCCGCGGACGGTCTATGGAGAGGATACAGATAGTATTTTTGTCGGCGAAGCGCTCGATCTTTCTAGCACAGAAAAGATCAGACGGCCCATTCCCGCACTAGAAGAGATTGAGGAGGCCCCATGGCCGTTACCCGCGTACATGGCTCTGACACATGAAGGAGTGTTGGCATCGTGGTGGATAGTTTGGAATCGATCCATTGAGGCTGGCACGCGCTATCCTGGTCTCATCTTTGGCAGCCCCGAGACTGCACAGGCAAGCACTACGCCTGCGAAACCCACGCCACAGCCGGGTTCCGTCTTTGCTCAATCTTCTACTCCAGTCTCACAGATTCCACAGGCCTTTAGCAAGCCATTGTCCACTTTTGGTACACCACCAAGCTCGCAGGCTGGCAATAGTGCATCTGGCTTTGGCTCCACAACACCATCTACACTCATGAAGCCCACTCCCCCGGGCTTTGGTACCCCTGGTTTTGGATCGATTACTCCAGCCTTTGGAAAACCTGCACAGCCAGCATTTGGCGCACCCTCATCAATAGGTAAGCCGGCATTTGGGGCTCCTTCAGCCATTGGTCAACCTGCCCAGCCAGCTTTCGGAGCCCCATCGGCCATCGGGACACCTGGTGGATCGGGCTTTGGAGTTGCAGGTGGATTTGGCAGCAAGGCGTCTCCTTGGGGAGCACCGCAAGCTTCGCAGAGTCAGGCAAATCCATTCTCGGCTGCTGCCAGTGGTGCGTCTGGGTTTGCCAAGTTTGGACAGACTGGGCCAACCGGAGGTTCCACGTTCTCCAGCTTTGGTAGCAATGGTGGCACTCAGTCGGGCTTTGGCTCTCTCGGACAGAGTCAAGAGAAGCCTGGTTTTGCTGGACTGAAGGCCCAACCAAGCTTTGGGTCCACCGTCACAGTCGAATCTGGTGCCGGGTCCACGCTTCCTTCATGGGCCAACACACCCGCACAGAATGGCTCGATATTCGGACAGAATAATAAATCGTCCTTCAACACAGCCTCATTCGAGTCGAAAGAGTCTGACATGAGCGATGTGAACGAGGCCGAACGCCGGCAGAGAGATGAGGCCACACCGACACCACAGAACCCAACGGCGAAGCAGCAAGATAAGCCGCTCTTCGGCCTTGCAGGTGGCTTCAAACTCGGTACCACCTTCGCAAGCGATGGCACGGCGAAGGATGATCCGGCGAAGCCAGCAGCTCCCGCGAATGGTTCATTCTTCGGGAGCGATTTTTCCAACACGCTTGGATCTGTTGACGTGAAACCTCCTGCTACCCCTCCGAAGGAGACACCAGAGAATGGCTCTACTACGCCGGCGTCACCGTCAAAACAGCAAGCCCTATTTTCTAGCACCACTCCTGCCAAAGCTAGTGAGACTCCCAAGGCAGCCCCATCGGCTAAAGAATCGGCAACTCCCATCGATGATGCACCCCTTCCTCCCGACTTCACCAAAGTCAAGCCACCCAAGGTTGATGATGCGCCCCTTCCCCCTGACTTTATCAATACTCCATTGCCCAAATCAAACAAGAAGGACCTGCCACCTCTAGCCGGGAGCCCTGGGATCAAAGTCCAGGCTCCCGGTTCGTCACCTGATGCTTTGCCTCTCGACGATGATGATGAAGAAGACTTTGAAAACGTCGAGGATGAAGCACGTGAGGGCGAAGGCGGTGAGGAGAATGAGGAACAAGACGAAGAGGAGGAGGCATCTTCCCCTCGACGCGAAGCTTCAAAACCCCAGTCGTCTAAATCTGCTGGTTGGAATTTCCAGGAAAGCGCCAGTCAATCTCCACGCGTCTTCCCATCTGCACCCACACCACCGATTGCAAAGTCGGGCGCTACATCGCAGTCTGGTGGTAGCGCCTCACCGGCTCAACCTACCTTGTTCGAAAATCCTCCAAAACCAGCACCTTCGTCTCTCTTTGATCAGCCGGCTCAAAAAAATGGGCCCTTTTCGTTCGCTCCGACATCAATGACTGCCAAACCAAACTTCCCGCCTCCGAAGAATCGCACTCAGAATCTCCGTTCACCAAGCCCAGTTCGATCAGCTTCGACTTCAGCAATGCGAGCCCGAAGAGAACCACTGGTTGCCCCAGGCGCAACACTTAGCGCTTCCATGCAACAATCAAAGCCACCCACTCCCCAACCACAGGTTTCGGATCTGGAGGACGAAGAGGATGAGCGTATGCGGGAACAACTCGCGCGTCCAATCGAACCAATGAGGACTTTAGATGACTTCGTCGCCTATCAAAACTATACTGGAGGCTCACCAAACAAGACGGGCCATGCTGCTCAAATTGAAATGATCTATAAAGACATCAATGGCATGGTCGACGCACTTGGCTGGAATGCACGCTCCATAAAATCCTTTACTGAGTACCACAAACAGCCGCAGTCTGGTCACCGTGTTGATCGTCGCACGTTGGAAGACGTCCAAGACGAAGGGCAGGACGGCTCGTGGTTCGAACGATTTGCAATGTGTGAGATTGAAGCATTGAAGTCTCTGGAGGATGAATTGGAACAAGAGCTCGATGCAGGCAGAGTACAAGATGTGCTCGGCATGCTTGCCCAGCTTGCCCGCTTGCTCCGTGAAAAGGCGAAGCTGATGACCCGTCTCAACGACATACGCCGACAAATCATCAACCGAAAAGACCCAGAAAAGACGCAAGCTCTGCGAAACGCGCCGCTACCCAAGGAAATTGCCGACAGCCAAAAGGCTCTTCGCAACGATTACGCACAGCTCCTCATCTCGCTCCAAAAAGCCGAAGAAGCAGCCGCTATCCTCCGCACAAAACTCGCCTCTCAGAACGCTTCCAACGGCAAGACCAGCGCCGTCCCCACCGTCGAAGCCGTTAAGAGCACCGTTCTAAAACTCACCGCCATGGCGGAAAAACGCAACAACGACATTCTACTCCTCGAATCCCAACTCCGCAAGATCGGCCTGACAGATCCCAGCAGGCCTTCCTCTGCTGGCTCACGCACCCAACCACAAGCCACACCGCGCCGTGGTCGCAGCGGCAACAATCACAACAACAATACTACCGCACTCCGCACCAGCACAGCCGAAACCCCCTTCGCAACTCCACCTACTCGTAGCACACTCAGTCTCCGCGAACTCAACCGCCGCGCGCTCACGCCCGAGGTCGAGCCTTTTCCGACGCCTACGAACAAGGGTTATGGACTCTTTTATACGCCTCGCGAGGATGAGGACGGGGAACCATCAACGCCGGGCAGGGAGTTGGCGCGGATGAGCGAGGTGGTGGATGAGCATATTGAGGGGTTGAGGGTTGCGGCGGGGAGAAGGAGGGATGTTGCGAGGGGGTTGAGGAGGGCGCTTGGGGAGAGGGGGGTTAGGGTTACGAGGGTTGGGTGAGATTAGTCTGATGGGCCTTTGAGGAGATGAAGAGTGAGAGCATGGTGGGATTGGGGTATTCTTTCTTTGAAAATTCTGCACGAGGATTGCAGAGTAAGGAATATGGAGTTGGAGTTTTTAGGCTGAGGTTTTGCGGCGAGGATGAGTGGGGGTGGGAGGAAAGAGTATATAGGCATGTGTTTTGAATAATGGGTGTCATGTTCTCATTCCCTTTTTGTTGTTGTTGTTGTCGTTGTTGCTGCCGTCATCGTCCTTCGCACTCGAACCAGTGTCCAGAGCACCCACAGCAAGCGTTGAGAAATCATACAAACTAAATTATCTACATATTACTTACAAGCAAACCTGATCTTCCTGAAGTCAATCTAGACTAGGGCTTGGAGATGGAGAGTGGGTCCAACGTATGCGGTATTGTCTTTCACCATGTGGATGGATGGATGGGTGCTTGTTGTAAGATTGTGGTTATTAGATATGCTCCTCGCCTAAGTACATGCTCGTCAAGCTCCACTAGCGAAATGAATCACTCGTACAGCAGGTATTGAGCTCGAGGGTTGGTTTGGGATTGGAGGGCGGTGAATGTAGTAGGGTAGCGTTGGTATCATATTATTTGGGTCTGTGTGGCTGTGTGTAGGTCTAGGAGTGGGAAGGGGGGCAAATTGTTGTTCTGTGAGGATTGGTGTTTTTGTGGTATTACTCTTGCCTGCCCCATCTCCTGCCCTACTTTATTTCACCTTCATAAACCTAACATGCACCAAATCCATGCCCTTCATCCCCTCCGCCATCGTCCCAACCACCTGCTCAAACCCATCTATATTCCTAAACTGCTCGTGCGCCTCCAAACTCGGCCACCCCATAAACGATGTGAAGCACTTACCCACCACGCCCTCGCCCAGCGACTCATGCGTCGCCGGCTCCACCTGCCACCCGGCCACCAGCCCTTTGGCTTGCATGCCGGGCAGCGCAGCGGCAGCGTCTTCAAACGCCATGAATTGTGATTCGTAGGTCGGGGACGGGTACGAGGCCGGGATCCAGATGCGCAGGCATTCGGTGACGGGCATGGAGAAGGGGTCGGTTGGGTTGCGGGCCGGGCGCAAGAGGATGTGGTATTGAATTGGGGATTCGGCTTGGACGTGAGTCTGCATCTTCTCAAGGAAGGGGTTGTATTCTGGGGTTGCCATGAAGGCTTCGTGGGCGGCGATGGATTCCCATTCTTACGCGGGGGTGTTAGTGGTGGGCCTTGGTAGAGGGGTTTTTTTTTATTTGGGAGGGGGGGAAGTGTGACATGTGATAGGATTGGATGGAACGCACCGATGACCATTTGAACAACATCAGGGTGCTCGACTTGGAAACCCCAATAGAATGCGTTGAGACCGGGTTGCTTTGCAATGGTCGCGATGGTGTTATTCCATACTTCTTTTGCCTCACCAGCTTCGAGATTGACACCTGCTTTGATGGGAATATAGACGACTTCGATGGTGCGTTCTGCCATGTTTTGCTAAAAGTGGAGTGAGGTTCGTGGAAAATTGGGGAATCTATGGTTCTGTGACTGATGCAGTCAGAGCAGAGGTAACCAAGCGGTGAATGGGCATCCTTTAAGTCACGGACGGGATGCTTCGGGATCTCGATTTGCTTAAATCAGCTTGAGAAGTGATTAGCTACCTACAAGTACCGTGTATGATCCGGTCCGGAGTCAGGAGCTGTGCGGCCCGATCATCAAGGTTATACTGTGGACTAGGTAGCGACTTATGTCCGTACCGGAGTATATTTCCTGGATGGGGTAGTCCTACAATTCAACATTATCAAGTCAGTTTATTGCCCTTGCGGGTTCATGTTGATGACAAGTGTTTGTCTTCAACTTGGGGAGTGCTGTGGTACAACCCCACAATGGGCTTTGTAATGGCCCCACCATAGGCATATACGTGGAGTAAGCTATGAAACTTAACAATTCCCCGGGTTATGGCCTAGACCTCAGGATGCGCCGAGCATGGGAATGCCAAGGATTGAGAAACCTCAATTGCATCGTGTAGACAAGACCAACAAGAGGTCTCTTGCGCAAGATTGTCAGATCACGAGGATGAGCACTTCTGCGCAATATTCGCCATGGAATTGATGTACTATACTGTATCGGAGGGCTCTGAGCCGTCGAATTGTAATCAAGTCCACTTCAGTGCACGAGAAATGTCCATCGATCGTACCGGTATATGGTCAAAAGCTGAAAGCTGAACCAAGCGAAGAGCAAGACCTATTTGCGAATGGTGGGTGCCATATTATTCTCGTCTATCTATCGAGACGATAGTATGACTTTTTTCAATATGCTGACGCCATGCAGCATCGACGAGCCCACGTGTTGTTCCTATCTTTGAATCAATCCCATCCGTTCCGACGAAGGCTAAGGTGCGATCCGTGCCACTGGAGGAAGTTGAATGTGCAGCGATCGATACGTCACCGTCGCTTGCAGGATTTCTCGGTGCTGTCTAAACCTTTACGAGATCCGAATGAAAGCCATATGTCTTTCTCTTTGACTTGGAGCACTAGTGTATTGCAAGCCAAGCGGCGTGGAATGGTATGATCCATTCTGTCCAGCACTAAGACATCTGCGCACAACCGGCCAATTGATTGAACAAGCTTCGTCCTTCGCAACGCATGTACAACGAAAAAATGTCAGAAAACTCCCTATGGAATGTAGAAGTTCCGGCGGAGCTTTACGTCTTATTGGCTGAACAGGTTCCTCTGGTGGTTTATTGGTCTGATAAACCACTAGACACACGAGATGCACATGCTCATGACATGCCCTTGGGAGGAAAGCTCGACTCCTTCTTAAAGCCATCTTTGGATAGTCGAGCAAATTTGAGCGTAGCGAGATTGGCCCATTGACCGTTCCACTCCTTTAGTTTGCGCAATACGGCAGCGTCTTCCAGATCGGGTACCCAGAATCCAGCAGCATATTCGGCTTGCTCGACGGCCTGACTTTGCTCTATCATGGTTTGACGGGTCATTGGGGGCCTTCCTGGACGGCGCTCTGCTTTCAACTTGGCCAGCTCTTCATCATCACGGCCTAGGTAGTCCTCAATCATGGCCTGAAGTTCCGGAATAGTGAGCGGCTTCTCATGTTCTGTGGTAAAGGACTGGAATGATTTTATCCGCAACACTGGTATATGTCAGTTGCAATGTTCCACAAACCACAGAACAGAGCTACATACGATAGGTCCGATTCTGTGCCTCTCGCACTTTTGCCAATCGATTGATCTTATCATCGCGGCCTGCTGCACGCTGCAAACGCTGGGTATCGCGACTATTCTCATGCAGATTTGGCGTCTTGCCCTTCTTCTTCGTGATATGCTTGGCCACCTTACTCAAGCGATTGCTGACCATTTTTGCTGGTTTGTATAAAAAGTTTGTAAACTGTAGGGTGTCGGCCTAGGAAAATCTTCAAAGCCAGACATCAATCCCAATGACGCTAAACCCAATGTGCCTAGGCTGTGCGGGTCGGGCCTAGCGCGTTATATTCGCGGGGCGTGTCAACCAACCTGGCTTGCCCTTGCCCTTGCATACGCGATGGGTGACGGATGTTCACTGTGTGTAGCATCAAAGAAGACTCTCTCCTTCACTTTCCCTCGATTCGCCGCATCACGTGCACTGTCTGGGCTACAGCTCTTCCTTACCAAATCTTCAGTCTCCTACCTACCATTATGCCACGGTAGTGAACTCGATTGAGCCTTTGTTTAGGCGTGACGCGTGGGCGGCAAAGTGTGCATCACGATGGGCATCTCTGGTACGATATACCCCCCCCCCCCCACCCTGCCACCACAATCATTTGCTAACTTTGGCCAGGCCTTCTACCGCTCCTCAAATCGATCCAGAAGCCATGTAATCTCAAGAAATTCTCGGGCCAGACCATTGGTGTGGATGCCTATGGCTGGCTACACCGAGGCACGGCTGCCTGTGCCATTGATCTGGCGCTAGACAAGCCAACGACCAAGTAGGCAATCGTGCATGGGAATTACTGGGATAAGGTGCTAATATGTATGAAGATATGTCGATTTCGTCATGAACCGTGTTCGCATGCTCATCCACTTTGGCGTCACGCCCTACCTCGTCTTCGACGGAGATAACCTACCAAGCAAGGCCAGTACGGAGAAGGATCGAAAAGAGAAGCGGAAGGAAGGCAAGCGATTGGGTCTGGAACTACTCAAGGTTGGCAAAGTAGCTCAGGCGCACCTCGAACTACAGAAGAGCGTGGACGTGACACCAGAAATGGCACGCATGGTGATCGAGGAACTCAAAACCAACAACATCCAGTATATTGTTGCACCGTACGAGGCCGACTCTCAAATGGCTTATTTGGAGCGCAAGGGCATCATCAACGGTGTTCTGTCTGAGGACTCTGATCTGTTGGTCTTTGGCGTCAAGTGCCTCCTCACCAAGCTGGACAAGTATGGCGACTGCATCGAAATCAATCGCAACCACTTCACCGCCTGTAGAGAAGTCAGCTTCGTAGGCTGGTCCGATGCAGACTTTAGAAGGATGGCCATCCTGAGCGGCTGCGATTATCTACCTGGAATAGGTGGATTGGGCCTAAAGACTGCCCATCGCATGTTGCGAAAACACAAGACGGTTGATCGTCTAGTCAAAGCCGCTCAATTTGATGGCAAGCTCAAAGTCCCTGCTGGATTCCTGACCGATTTTGAGCAGGCGGAGAAGACCTTTTTGTACTCCTGGGTATTCTGTCCCATTGCGAACCAGTTGGTCAATTTGACGCCACTGGAAGACGGTATCAAGGCTGCTGACATGCCATACATCGGAGAGGAAGTGCCGGCACATATCGCCGTCGAAGTAGCCAAGGGCAATTTGTACCCTCGAACCAAGCTTCCACTAACGGTTACCAACAAGTCTAAATCTACTGGGAAACCGCTCATACCTTCGCGACAGACATCGGCGACCGTCCAGACTCCTGATGGCAAAGCATCGAAGCCCATTGATTCGTTCTTCAAACCCAAGCGCACACCGCTGGCAGAGCTTGATCCGAACATCTTCACACCATCGCCTAGTCAACAAGTCCTGTTGGACCAGCAACGTAACACGAATGGTTGGGCGGCGGTGCCTGCACCAGTGGCACGTTTACAACAGCAATCAGTCCCACGCTCTGCACCGCAACCCCCAAGGCGCACATTGACCGATCCTACTGTCGGAAGGCGCTCAGTACCGAACCCGTCTAAGCGGCAGCGACTCTGTTCCGACTCAATTACCAACACTACGGCCGCTGGCAGTGAAGCTATTGTGCGCAGTCAATTTTTTCAATCTTCTTTGCCTGAGCCCAGTCCATCTCTGCGTCCTAGTAAAATGCGTAGGCGAAAAACTGGCCAGGATTTTGAGCTCTTCTCCGACGACTCTTTTCAGGACGCTCTGGCCAAGGTAGCGGACCTTGAAGAGGCGGCGTCTCAGTCTGATAAGAAGCTGCGCATTTTCAGTGACACACAGTCTAGTACAAAGAGCGATTTGCAGTCGACAGTGTTCTCTAGAAGGAGCACGGAGCAATCTCAAGACACGACTGGTGCTTTGACGCCAGCTACATCTCATGGCAGTCCGGCACCGGAAGCTGAAGCAGATAAGATATTCAGCGCTGCAACATCATACCAAATGGATGAATTGCGCGCCAAGTTCACTTACAAGGAGACGGCGTCAACATTATCAAGCCCCAGAACAAAGCGAGTCGCTCTCTCTCCGTTGCGCCGGCGGCGTGCAGAAGCATGGGCACCACGATCTCCGCCTTTCGAGACCTCAACGACACCATTACCTGAAGATCTTCCACCGTCAGACGTGAGTTCCTTTGTGGAGGACGAGAGTCTGGAAATAGCAGACTCTGCTTGGGCGGCAATGGAAGCTAAAGTCGTGGTAGCTGCTAGCCCACCTCCAATAACACCATCGAAGAGACGGCGATCTTCCCTCAAAGGAAGCGAGGACCTTCTCGTACCCGACAGCGAAGCAGAAAGCGATTGCTCGCCACGAAAACCCATGTTTAACCTGGCACATTTTGCCTTTGCTGGCTAGTGAGTGCTTGCTTAACGTTGTATATGATTTGGCATAGCATTATCACGAGCATATGATTTGTGAAGCATAGCGTTTAAGGCTTTGTTTTCATAGTGGGCATTCATATTGGCGCGTCGGTACAGGCTGGCTGGGCCACACCTGAGACATTTTTCCGAGAATATTATACGCTGAATACCTAATGCATCACATGTCATTGTCTCTGCTCTATCCACTCGTGCAAAATTCGAAGGGTGAAAGGGCTGGGCAACGTCCCCGACCCTGTTGATATTAGAACAAAGACGTGAGTGAGAAGTGCTAACAATTGCACAACTAACGCCTCCTCTCCGCCAGCCTTGTGCAGACAAAGACGTTGCGACTCGGTCATGCGCACACTTTGCTGTAAGTATGCATTTCTTAGATGAGCCTGTACCCCGAGCGACATCCTGCTGCTCTCGAACTCTTCTAAGAACAAAGACGGCTCATATCAACCGTGCACATACTGTGGTCTCTGTTGAGATATTCTATTCACAGGGCTTTGTCCTGCACACTTGTCTTCCGCATCCGTCTTGTATATTCCCACACGAGAGTGTATTTAAGTCGTCCCGTCTCTTGAGTCTGCACGATGTTCTTGTTCAAGCATAAAGGTAACGAGGGTTACCCGTCTACTTGTTGTATACTCTGTTCAGCGCACCCAATTTTTCCGAATCCTTTATATATCCATATAATAATATCACTCGGCATTTGTTAAGAGCCATCATGACTCCACCCACTCGTGTCTCTACGCGGGTGCGCACTTCCAAGTATGCCAACTTGAATGAAAATGCGATGACCCAGGCCATCAACGCGACGGCGGTGGCAAGGCCAGTAGCTGCACGCAGGCCAGCCGCGAAGAAAAGAGCGACTCAGAAGAAGGCTACCAAGCAGGCTACTAGGCCAACCAAAAAGTCTACCAAGACGCCCACTAAGAAGCCCACTGAGAAGCCTTCGAAAGGCAAAGACAAGAGAAGGAGGCGCCTGCCAATAGAACCAGCAACCAGGGCAGCAACTAAGCATCCAGCCAAATCCCGCAGGGAACCAACGCCGGAATCACCAGGGAGTGATGCTATCGCCACTCCTGAAGCCCCAACAAAATCAAGAAGCTCCCCGCTCTCCACTCCACCATCAACTGGCAGGCTCGATAGGGGTAGAGAATCAATCAACGTTCATCCCCGTGGAGAAGTCAAGGGACACGTCAAGTCTGGGACCAACGACATCAGAAGACGCCATGCCAAATCCAAGGGAACCACTTTACCCCAATCCAGCTCCAACAAAACCAAAAGTGGCCGTGTTGACAAAGTCCGAACGGGGGCTCGACCAGGCACCAGATCGAGTGATGTAAGACTGTATGGAACAGACCGAGCCGATTCCCCAAGCTACACCGGTCTCGACTTGCTATTTGACCATGACCATGACGCCCACGCAAACAAGGATTCCAGAACCACCCCAAAATCGAGAACGCAAATGGCTACCAAGATTGCCAGAAAGACTTCGATGCGGCCACAGGAATTTGACAGGAGGACTCCAGACGGACGCGTGGCCCAGCGCAAATCAGGGACGATTGTGACGCCGAGGAAGGCTAATACGGGGGCGAAGGTGAAGCAGACAGAGAATGTGGGTAGTGAAGAAGAGAACGATACTGAGGATACTGATATTGATGCTTGAGAAGAAGGAAGAGAAGTACCCAGTTAGTCGGGATCGAGGGATTCGTAACATCGATTAGACTCTTTTTTCTCTCGTTTTGTTCAGTTTGTTTCAATTGTACTCCTAATACTAGCTCTGTTTGAAAATGCATGATTTCATGTGCACTCTGTCGTCATCCACTTGATTTTCTTTTTTCTCTCTCCTTCCTATCCTCGCAGGCGAGTAGAATGACGCAATGTTGTGCTAGCAACTTGGCTCACTCTAGTGAAATCGCTAGCAGGAATGTGTATTTTGGTCTCTTTTCTTTTTGTACTAGTGTGGTCTACACAGCGTTAGTGATGCTTGTGGAATTTAGCTCAAGTAGTTTCGTTTTTTGAGTCAGTCAGGGGTTAGAGTCGAACGCTATATTGCCCAACATTGTTCAATTAAAACTCTCTCGTTGTTGTCTACTTTTCATCATGACTATGCTCCGGCCAATAGCATGGATTGAAACTATAATAACCTAGTCCTAGGGTAGGTTATCCTTCTTATACTAGGTAGAGAGGTAATACTTACTTTTAAAGATAATAAAGGGTAGAAGGACCTAGCTAGTAGTATTAATATCCTAAATAACTATACTCTACTTATAGGTACCTTATTAGACTATCTTTACTTATTCTTAAAATTCTAAAGTAATGCGCTTACACTTTGGCAAACCGCGCTAGCCTAGTAGAGGGTTAGCGCAGCCTCCCCCTATATATATCTACTATACAGGATAAATAGAGAGGGTAGACGTATATTAAATAATGCACTACTATCTACACCTGCCCTATACTATATCTCTATTTATCTATATTAAGTAGTAGCTAAAGCTTATAATAATAATTAGTTGCCTACTAAGAATAGTGCTACTATTAATTAGCTAACTAAGCTCTAAAATAAATAGAGCCTTAATATAACTTATACTATAGATAGAATATAGAAATTATAATAAACCTAGTCCTTTTTTTCTATATATAAAAGTATAACTACTCTTATACACTTATACTACTTACCTAAAGTAGCTACTTTTAGTACTAATAAGTACTAGCACTTACTATATAAATAAAAAAGGTACTAGTAGTACCTATACTATAAATAAGAATAGCGTAGTTTATATAAATAGCGTAGTATACTCTAGAAAAGAAAATTTCTCTATTAAACTCTAGTTTTTACTTAGACTACTATAGCCTCCTATAAGTCCTACCTGCTAGGATATATAGTATACTCATTTTGCCTAGCGCTAATTAGTAATATATAGCACGCTAAGTCCCTCTATATTTATAGCTAGGTTATATAACCTACTTATAGATACTAGTATAGTGAAGGCTACTATCGCATACCAAGAATACGGCAAAAGTAAACACTGTTACCCTACCCAATAAGCTAATATATATGGTGGGATATTAATATGATATTAATATTGCGATAGCTACTTATTATAAACCTTTAGTCTTTATAGTTAATAATTAGTATACTCTACTTAACCTAGATACTAATATATTTATCTTAGCTTATTAGCTTACTTTATTTCTAAGTTATAATATTATATACTAATAAGTAATCCTTTAGGAGACTACTAATATTATCTATATCATAGTCTAGTTATATAACCTACTAACCCTATAAGATTTAGTATACCCTAGATAACCTAGTAATAAATATATTGCTAAACTAGGAGATATATTTAGGTAGAATTTTACTATTAATAAGTCCTTAGTAAAGAAAATTATAATATATATTACTAGTATATTTAATACTACTACTACCCTAGTTACTAAGTATAAGCTTTTTTAAGAGTAGATAGCTAGTTAACTTTATACAAGATACGCTAGATTTATTCCCTCTAAGAATATAGACCTAAAGCGTGCTATATAATAGGATATAAGTAATAGGGATACTACTATAGAAATTTCCTTTAATAGTATATTAATATTAACGATTATAAATAGTAATTTATATATACCTAAAAAAAAGTACTAAGTATATAAGCTTATCCTTAAGAGGCGTTATAAAGTATAAGCCTAGATTATAACAACTTAGGTAGGTAGGGCATCTAAAAGGTATCCTATACAACTTAAAGGTATATAGGAGTGCTTGTATATATAGAAAAGGATAAGATTCCTACACCTATAGGTCTTGTATAAAAGGATAAGAAGAATATATCTATCCTAATTATAGGCGAGCTACTCTCTATATATATTAGTAAGTTAGGCCTTTATTAGGCCTAACTTAGTATAGAATAATAGGTAAGCAATTCTACCTTATTATTACACTACCCCCTCCTATAAAGAAAGGATAGTCCCTATCCTTAGGATTAGGATTAGGTCTCTTATTAAAGAAAAGCTTTTACAAAATAAATCTACCTTTACCTCTACCTTTACCTTTACTTCTTGTTCCTAGGGTATATACCCCTATCCTTAGCCTACCTATAACTAGCCCTCTACCTACTAACTTTCTTATTCCTATATCCCTAATTTTTTAATTATTTAACCTAATCTATCTAAAATCTAGTAAGTATTTAATCTATATAATTAAGTAGTTACTAATCTAAATTAGAACCTTTAGCTATACTAGTACTAGTACTACTAGGAGTCCTCCCTATTACTTATCGCGCTCTCTATATAAGGGTAGTTAGGGCTCTAGCTAGGGGTAAGTTTAATAATTTTAATTTTAAGTTAAAGAATTCTAAGAAGTGCTAGTACTATATCTCCTAGAATAAGTATTATAATCTAGTAAGTATCTAAGTCTAATAGGGTTCCTTTACTAATTCTAGTAGATTCCTTCTTTTATTAGCCTAGAGTACTCTACCCTTAGGGGTGCTCTAGATAAGTACTATAGCCTAGTAGCAAACCCTACTAAAGGGGATAAGGATAAGGATGCTGTAGTTACTTATTAGAAGGATATTAAGCAGTTTAAGGCTACTATTTAAGAAGCTACCTAAAACCTAGCTAAGTATATTACTATTACTAATACTTAGACTAAGGGTATAGAAGCTACTAAAATCCTTATAGCTACCTATTATACTACTATATCTAATTTATATTAGCTTTAGAATAGTATTTATAAAATAGTCTTAGTAGTTAGGGGCTTAATAAGGGCTATTAATACACTTAAGGAGGAAATAGTACTAAATTAGGAGGTAACCTTTATAGTGTAGGCTAAGATAAAGGCGCTTAATAAGAAGGCGTCTAAATTAGTTCTAGCTCCTACACCTACTCCTACACCTGCTCTAAAACCTGCTGCACTAGTTATCTAGAAGCTAGCTAAGAAAGGTAGTCTAGGTGCTATCTTAGCTAATATAGAGTCTAAACTAGGTTCTAATAGAGAGATAGATATAGAATAAAGAGGTTTCCTAGGGGTAGTGTCCTAGGAACCTTAAAGGTTCTAGGATAGTTCTAAATAGGATATAATAATAAATAGTAACAAGAATAATAGTAATAGATAGTAGTTAATAAATAATATATAGCTAAATAGGATATAAATTAGTTCTAATATTAGGTATAATTATTATAAAGTAATATTAGATCCTCTTTGCCTTTTTCCTAGGCTTAAATCTATTTTAGTAAGCTGCGTAGGGGACCTAGCTAATTTAGATACTATTAGTAGAATACCTATAATTTATAGGGAGCACCTATAAAGTTAGAGGTAGGATACTAAATAAGATTAAGATTATGTCTAACCTACTTAACCTTATATTTTAGCTTAGATTAATATAATTTGCTAGCTAGGATTTCTTCTACCTCCTATTCCTCTACACCTTATATAGGGGTACTAGGGGGTTTTAGAGCCTCTTATCTAGGTAATAGGTCTTAGGGATCTTTCTATTGTATATTAGAAGAGAAAATGTTATAGATCTTAGAACTAGGTAGCAATTAGAGGCAATACGTGTTTCCTACTTATTCTAATACCTTAAAGGGACCTTCCTATTATTTAGATAGTTTTTAGCTAGGTTATAAAATAGCAAGATTAGTAGTATATAGATAAATATAGTTACTAACCTTCTAGTTAACTAGATAGTAATAGTAATTAGTAGTAGAGCGTATTTAGTCTTAAGCTCTTTCTATATTTTCTTTAGCAATCTTCTAGGTGTTGTGTATCTAAGTAGTAAGGGATAAGGCGTCCTTATAGTTTAGTTTCTCTAGTATAGTAGATAGGGTCTTTTCTAGTTTCTAATACTAACTTTACTTTAGTAAGGAACTAAAGAGGAGCTAATATAGAGCTATACTAATAGATAAATATAGTAGAGTACTTTAGGCATAGTCTATTATAGGTAGTAGGTTGCTCTAGTTATCTTAGTAATAGGATATAAAAGGCCTTAGTCTCTAATTAATATACTTATTTATAATTTTAGTTTATCTATTAGTTTATTTATAGTAGGTAGTAGAGAGCTTAACTTTAGTGCTTATAATCTAATAGAACTTAGACTAGAAACTAGATATAAACTAAGGGCCTTAATTAGAAATAATAGTATCTAGAGTGTATCTAAATTAGTATACCTACTATATAAATAAGGTAGCTATACCTTAGGTATCTATAGTTTTATAGCAAGGGATAGTAATAGCTTGCTTTAATAGGTAATTAATAATAACTATAATCTAATTATAACTAAGTTAATCCTAGGGAAAATCTTTAAAATTAATATATAGGTGCTGTATTAGTAGACTAGGGATAGGAAGGGGGTAGAGTATACTAGGGAGTTAGTGCTACCTTAGGTGCCCTCTCCTGCAAAGGATATAGTTTTAAATATAGCATTTACAGGTTATCTCTATACCTTTCTAGTAGTATTATTAGGCTAGAATCTAATAGGTTTTAGTGGCTAATAGGTAGGTAGTAGACACTTAATTATAAGCCTTACAAATTAGTCTAGTGTATAGGACTAATCTAGTACGCATGTAAAGTTAATCCTAGTAGAGAAGGAGTCTATTTTCTATCTAATAGTGCTTAGGCAACTCTAATCTTTCTATTAGGAATAAGGACCTATTTTCTTAGAGAAGAGTTTT